CGCTAACCCGATTAGGAGGCGGCAAGTCACGTGATTTTATTCTTTCGTCAGGAATCATTCCTTACCGAAAAAATCCTTAAATTTCAACTTTCCGTAATTACCGTCAGCCATTTTGTCCATCCCTAATGCAGGCGGCCCTGGTGGCAGTGGAAGTGGTGGATACCGCGGTGGAGCTGATCGCTACGCCTCCTCCTCCGGCGGCCGTGAGGAACGGTACGGCCGTGATGAACGCCGCGATGATCGTCGTGGTGACGAACGCCGTGGCTACTATGACCGTGATGCTAACCCTCCCAGTTACGGACACGGTGCTCCTTCTCGCGAACCGTATCCCGGCCGTTCTTATGAACCTCGTGGTGGTGAAGATCGGTACGCGGGTAGGTAGGTCGGTATTTGCCAGTTTTCAACAAATGCCTTCCCGCCTAGGCAGGGTGGCACACGACTCGAAACTCTTTCCTATGTGTTTCTTTTGATATCTCGCCCTTTCCCCTTCCTCCTTGTCCTTAATGTTGTACACCTTTCACACCGTTTTCATGTTCCCCCCGGTATGATCTTTTTCTGTTTTCTCGAATGGCACAACTCGTTGGGGTCGTCTCAACAAGTCAACGCTTGGGCGTCATTTATTTGTTTTTACGGAAGAAAAGTCGTCGAATTCTCAAATCCTGTTGAGCGAACTCGGAACGTCGTCAGCTAGCGGCCATTCGACCGTCCCCAGTCCTGCAACTGGAAACTAGGACATTACTCGAAAGTCACCAACTCCCATCGGACGCAGGCTGATATTTCTATGTTATTTCGCTCGATACACCGGAATCTATGGCGGCAGGGAAGTGCAGGATTTTCTATCAACGTTGTAATTCCTCGGATTGTCAGATGGGTCAGCACTTCTACATTTTCAGCTTCACCGGAAAATTGGGTCGTTATCTCGCTAGTCAGCTGTTCGCCTATGTTTCGTCTTATACAACATTTTCTACGTAACGACTCGATTGTATTCGGCCAGGAGCACATTAAATCTGTCATGCATGCACTCGCTCGCCCTCATACCAGCAAGCACACGACATGGAGTTCGGCCACGTTCCGCCAGTCCGCCATACCGTTGTTTGTGCCTGTAGTACTGCGAGTGTTACGGCAGCCACTCTCGCCTTAGAAGTCGACTTGCGCACGGGCTCAACGTAATGCGGCGCACCATATCATTTATTTCAGCCCTCTGCCTTGCCTAACGAGGACTGGATCTTCGGAAGGTAAGCTATGGTGACGAGTGCTAATCCATACCTCAGGGCGCGCCGTCATTATCGCCGTCGCGTCGACACGGATTCTAAGAGTACCTCAAGTGCGCTGTCTAGCGGCCATGGGAAACTGCTTCTCCTGGGATTGGGGTTGTGCCTTGAATGATGGGGCTGCTAATCTTCACCTTTCACTTCGACGCGGGTTTTCATGTCATTCCACCGTTGTAGTCGCCACTGGGATTGTCCCTTATGCTCGATTCCTGAGTCGCACTAACCGCTGCCATCAGAAGACGCATGAATCTTACTACTCCCAGCACATGGATCATTGCACTCTGTTCTTCGAACTTCTCATGGTTTGATTGGTATCAGCTTTCTATTTAGAGCTAGAGATAGAAATTTACCAATCATTTACTGCATTTCTGATCGCCCCAATTAGTGGATTTAATGACGTTCAGCTCTTTTCTGGCGCAAAGGCGGCATCTCAGGACATCCAAGGCGCCCTCTCGTTTTCTGTGCTCTTTGTAAACACTCGCTTCACTTCTTCAAGATGAACACACGTGTAGCAGTAGACCTGTCTTGTCATCCGAATCGACGAGCCCAAAGGAACAATGTTGCGCGCAACGAAGGAATGCGCATGGGCTTCGTGACGAAGAGAGAAGCAGGAAGCGCCATTGATCTTAGTGAAAGGACGAATAAGCTATATCCGCCTCAACTTAACCAACCGCCCGCGGAGAGTTCAATGCGCCTGCAGAACCACTAAGATATTATATCCGCAACAAATCATATCCCACCACCGTTGACAGCCGGCTACTCCGGCGCCCTCCCGGACTGCCCCTCAACCTCATTACTCTTCTGGATAAGGAACTCGCCCAACACACGCAAGGGATTCGCAGGTCTGACTTCCCGGTTAGCGATCGCCATCTAAAAGACCCAACCACCCAACAGGTAATGTAAGTAATAGTTAGAGGGCAACATACTGCTCCTTCGTAACAGTCTTCATCCCCTCCAGCAAATACGGCACGATCTTCTCGTTCATGTAGACGCGCGCTGGGGCGCCGCCGGGCCGCACTGTTGAGGCGACGGAGTCGGCGGTTGGGGTGTGTGCGGCGCCGGCGCCGGACGAGGACATTTGGGCGTTTTCGTTGGCCATTGGCGTTGGCGTTGATATCGATGGGTTTGGGTTTGGGTTTGGAGTTGGCGTTCGGAAGAGGCTTCGTGGGTGTCCTGCTGATGGTGGTGGATGTGGTGCTGGTGCTGGGTCTGGGGGCGTATAGTACGAGGAAGGATTGAAGTTCGGGTGGGAAGTAGGCGGGTACGCGACGGATTCGGTCGTTGTCTGGCGGGTATTATGAGCAATTAAGTCTGGTGGATTGAGAGCAGTGGATTGAGGGTGTTGAGCGCAGAAGAGAAACCTTTGAATTGTGGGCAGTATTTGAGAATGCGAGGGCGGAGAAGATGGCGGAGAGGTCGTGTGGGGTATTGGACTTACTGGGGCGTTTTCGGTCATGGCTGCTGATGGTATAGGCAGTAACTGGCTGGAAATGGGTCGCTATGGCGTTTGCTAGCTGGAATCTTGGTGAATGGCAATGTTTGTACGCTCAGCTGCCTCCCCAGCGCACTGGGCGTCGGATTGGTGTTTCGCTCATGCAGCTTAAATTGATCACGTGATCTCGTGTTTCGCCGTCACGTCTCCGGCTGACGCATCACGGCTCTGGTTCTTATCGAGCAGAGGCAGAACGACAACGACAAGGCGGGGGTTGGGGGTCTTGGATAATTGATTATCCTTTTGGTCTCTATCCTGGTTGTTTGTCCTGAATTTCCCTTTTTTATTCCTACAAATTTGTTGTGGAAATGTACTCGCTCGCGGTCCGAAATATATATCGATAACGCGCGAATATCAACGGATGTGCCTCTCAACTTCGATCTTTAAACCACGAACCCTTCAACAGAATGTCCCTTCTTGACTACTGGGATACAAGTCGCTCATCAGTAAAGCGTCGAAAAGTCACACCTGAAGTTTCCACGCCTCAAACGAAGCCGAAACGAGAAATCGAAAGAGTCTTCGGAAAGTTGCCATCAGACGAAACCTCGACCCTCAAGACCGAGAACTCGATATCGCTTGCCTCTGCCGACGAAGAACCGTTGAATGACGGCGAAGATGCCATTCCAGGCAGCCAGACCGAGCTCGAGTCCGCTCTTCCTGCCATCAATACAGATACCCAGGCAATAGAGGAGTATGAGTCTTCACAGAAAGCGGAGGATGGCGAGGATAAGGAACTGTCTCTGCAGGAGAGGATGCGGGACGGCAAGTGGCGAAAGGGAAAGAGCTCGATATACGTGGATGCGTTCAACCTCGCTCTGGATACAGTTCTAGCTGAAGAGGCGCATCTTTTCAGTGACTCTGAGAAAGAGGTGTTTCGCCACTGGAGGGAATTATCCTATGAGTCGCAATATCTGTATGTTTCTGGACGACCCTGTTCTTGGTTGAGAGGATCAACTGACCGATTGTTTAGATATGTTCGCCTTTTCTTGCGCAAGACGTCAGCGTGGCATCGGGTCAATAGGTTGGGCTATTACTCGGATATTGCTGATGTGCCGCAAGTGGTCGCGGATTTACAAAAGACTAGAGACCTCTCTACTTCGGAATTTTCGGACAATGAGAGCTCGTCAGATACCTCGTCCCCATCTGACATAGGCTTGAGTGGCGAGTTCCGCTTTGCTGATACGGCTGATGAGATCGCCACTGTGGAAGAAGCGTCATCAATGCTACTACTCGATGAGTTGAAAGTCCTCGCGAAGGAAGCCAAGGTGCAGGGAAAGTCCAAGCAAGAGCTTATCACGGCATTACACAAGTCGAGCCAGAAGCAAACCGGACTCGGATGGAACACCTCGAATAACTCAAATCGAGAAGAGCACTTTGTTAAGAAGATTCTTGACTACACGGGGGATTGTATTCGGCTCGCGTCCAGTCCTTATGAACTCTTCGAGCGGGTCCATCTTGTTTTCTACCGATCGACCGAGTGGACGGAGAAATCACTCACCACTATCATTCTTGCGAAGATATCCCGCCGGAACTTCCCTGAGTTCGTCGTTTGCCGCTCCAGCTCAATATTTCCGTCAAGGGATATTCTCCTCGAGTTTGAATCTGCTTTACGGACTCAGTACAAGATAGATAACTTCCTCGAATTCAGTGGGACACCAACAAGAGACCGACTACAGGAGATCAAAGACTTGGCTTACAAGATTTACCCTCGATGGAGGACCCTTCTCGAACAGGAACAGCAGAAGGAGGATACCATTTATGAATGCGGAGAAGGCGCATACTTACGCCGCTTCTCACCCGCTTGGGTATACACAAGAATCCTGCATAAGGGCCTCCATCCCCTTGGTCGCTTTAAAGAGTACAAGGAGGAACATAGACTTATATCTGAACTACTAGACCAGCGGCTATTTCACCCCGCTCGACGCGGCGCATGGTACCAGCGCAAGGCGCTCTTAGAGGAGCGCTACATGTGGACCCTGATGCCATCCGAGGGGCGCAATGAAGAAGCTCAGAAGAAACACTGGAGACGCATCGCGTTACGCACATGCGAGGAAGGCCTTGAAGACCCATCCTGCCACTTGATATACCATCATGACTTACAGAAACGGATCCAAAAGCTCGAGAAAGCACTGAAGGTTGTCAAGCGAGAGCAGCATGATTTCGGGCACGTCGCGCTCTCCAAGCCCGAAGAACGTACAGTCGAGGGCATCCAGGTTGAGCGCGAGGATACCCCGATTCGAACACCACCCCTCGTCAAGGACAAAAAAAACGACGATGACACACTCACACCCACCCCTAAACGCAGCGGACCAACCATCTGGATCGACGAGCGCGAAGACGGCGCCGAATGTCGAGTCGAAGCCATGTGTCTCAGCTGGTACCGAGATAACGGCTGGAAGGGATACCACTCTGAGGGCGGGATTCTTCGAACACTAGTAAGCCGCCGCCACTCCTATACTTGAGCTACATGCTAACCATGGACATGATTAGTTCGCCTACCTCTTCTACGACATAATCTTCACCTACATCCCCAACGTCTTCCAAACAATCTTCCAAACCTGCCCATTAGACCTACACACAGACGCCTTCTACCCCTCGCGCGCCTCAGAGATAAACCACCGCCTCGTGCAAATCACCAACGGCGACGCCCCCTCTCTCATCCGCGCCGTTCACGCCCAGTACTCAGAGATCCAGCCCTGCGCCATCGGCCTGGACTGGTCCTTCCCGCTTGAAGACCTGCTAGAGATAGCAGAGTGTTTCAAGGGCGAGGCACTCGCTGCAATCTGCAAGATCATGGCGCAGGAGTATCAGGCGAGAGGTGGCGGCGTGCCGGATTTGTTCCTTTGGAGTGTCGAGAAGAAGGAGGTGTGTTTTGTTGAGGTGAAGAGTGTCAATGATCGCTTGAGTGACACCCAACGGCTCTGGATCCATGTCCTGCTTGGTGTTGGGGTTAGGGTTGAGCTTTGTAATGCGGTTGCGAGGGAGGTTAGGAGGGTTTAAATGGTTTGGTCTTTGGAGTCTCGGATTGGATTGGTTGGCGCTTTGGTTGGTGTGGCTGGCATATAGATTTTGTATATCACTTGACATAGTGTATTTACATGGACATAAATTATGCACAAACATGCATCATGGTGTAAGTCACATATAGCTCCTAGGACCTACCCATTACAGTTACTCCAAGGCGCTGTCCTTCCCTCCTCATGCAAAATCCCCGCAAGCTCAATAATCAGCTATGACAGGGACATGGAAGGTCTTGGCCGGGGTCCGTAAGCGACAATCTCAGAATTCATTAACATGTTGAAAAAGTATCTGACATCTGGGCAATGCTATCATGCGCCGTGTCAATTCGTTGATTGAACTTGATCGCGCGAATAACTGTACATTGTGACTGATAGATGTAATTGTCTATAAAAGTAGACATGTAAAGGTGTGACATATGTTCAGGAAAGGTCCGGAGAGCAACCTTGGGGATCCAAGAACCGATAATCCGGTATCCGTTGCAAGCATTGCTTGTATGGTACAGTGCTCAGTCCCATAATGAACCGCGAAGTAATTGAATCCACGTCCTCTCCATTCGCAGCAAAGCTTAAGATTCTAAGCAAGTAAACAATGGTCTTCTTGCTCTCTTTTCGCCGAGATATATTGCAGGGTTCTCACGAGCACAGGCATAGCTGCTGGGATGAAAAATCTGGCTAGAAGAATCGTTCTTCGACGCCGAGATGAGGTGTCCCTAGTTGCACCATGGCCAAAATGGGGGAATTGAGCATAGTGATGCGCTGGCAGGCAGGCTTTGTTCCAGTCTCTCTGTGGAATGGCATTAAAGCCAGAGTGCTTTTTCGGGATGCGCGGAACGCAGGGTTCCAGTTGCTGGATGACGGAGATCTCGTGTACGTGCGCCGTGAGGGCATCATTCCATTGCGCCTAAGAGAAGCCCTTGGCTGGATCAACTTGACAACGTAGCCCAGGTCTATCGTCGTAGCCGTCTTGAGCTTCTTCGCGTGCCAGGGACAGAGTTCGTTTCTAGCTTGACTTTCTTGTCGTCAGGCTCCAGCTTGATCTTATCCTCATCCACAGCCCTCTTCAAGGAGACATTTGTCTCGGTCGTCGTTGCAAGGATTTCGGTTCGATCCGTTTCTTCTTCCTTTACTTTCACCTCAACCTTCTCCTGTTTCGTCGTGGCAACCAACCGGTCTGAGAACGTCTTCAGATCGGCAGTGAACAACACGCTATGAGCCCATCCCGCTTCTTTGCCCCAGAGTTTGCGGAAATGGTTCCCCACGGCATCATATGTAGCCTTAGTTAGGGACTTGTGCGAGCCCTTGCCGAACTTGTAGTCTCTGTGGGCGATTTGCCATACTACACCAGTCAGTCCTTGGAAAAGAGACAGGACATTGAGTGGAACATACCATGAGTATCGACTGGCACAGACTCGCCCCATCCCAGCCCCATCAAGGACACACAATCGGCAACCTTGGGCCCAACACCTTGCAGCTCAAGCAACTTCTCATGCGCCTCGCGATACCCACTCCTCCCCTCAGGCGGCATCTCCTCTTCCTGACCAACGACGGCCTCAACCCCAAAAGCTGGGGCCTCGGGGTTTCGCAATGAATTCAACCACCCGCTCTCTTTTTGCTTTGCAACAATGACCGCCGTTTGGTATATATACTTCGCGCGATACCCAAACCCTAAACTCCGCAATCGTGCCTCAACACCCCCATCCTCCGCTAATCGCCCCGGAGACGGAAAATCATGATATGCACGGCCATCGACATCCGCGACGTGGGCGCCGTAGTTCAAACACAGCTTCTCAACCATCTGCCCAATCCGCGTGATGTTGTTATTGCTGCTGCAGATGAACGAGATTAGGGCTTCCCAAGCGTCTTGGCGGAGGATGCGAATGCCGGTGAACTGAGAGGCTTTCTTGCGGAAGTTCGGGTCTGACGAAGACCATTGTGCATAGAGGGTTGTTAGGTTTGAGTTCAGGTTGAAGTAGTGCTTGATGATGTCCAATGTGGTGTCTTCGGGTTCGCCGTCGTTTGTTGAGCTTGAGATCTTGGGATTGACGTAGGTCCTGTAGTGGAGGTGCGTTGGGTCTTGCTTGAGGCAGACGAGACGGCCGTAGAGAACGCAGCGCCATTCGTCATTATCAGGGACTTTGTGCCATCTGCCAAGTTAGCAGCTGGGTACCGAGATATGAGGTCAAAGTACCGAAATGACTGGCCACATCGTAGGGTAGTGTTTATGCAAAGTTCGCTGAGGCTAATTGACAGCTTGCGCCATTCCGAGAAGGTGCCCACGGTCATTGTGATAAAGTAGCAGGATGAAGCTGTGAACCCACGTCAATGGGGAACACAGAATAGATGATTCTGCCATGTGAGTTCTGTGGATAGAAAGCGGTGAGCCTACCGCCAAAAGCAGGCTAACTGGAACTGGCTTAGGTAATCTGCTGCTCGCGCCGATCGAGATTCTGAGAGCCAGGTCAATGAGTTTTCGTCCAGCGCAGCTTTTATCTAAAGATCGTTCGCCGTCCTCTCGATCGCATTCCTTAGCATATCCAGACTGCTTTTGAAACCCATATCAATCTTACTAGCTTTGCCGGCCCCTCGACAAAGACTCGACCGCTGTGTTGCCGCCCGAGACAAAGATCAAAAGGAGCTCACAAAAGTGAGATCGCGCTGGTTTCAAGATGAACGGTGATACCTACTCGTCTAGGGGTGAGTTGTTGTTCAACTGGATGATTTATACGGCAGGAACTAATTTACTTAGGTGCGGACTCCGGTCGGTCAAGAGACCACTACGTGAGTGTTACGTCTGAAGTCAACCAAGCTCTATTAACATTTGCATAGCGCGATGAACGACGTGAACGCGGAGACCGAGGGGAGAGAAGACGGTCGAGATCGCCGCATTACGGAGCCAGAAGCTCCCGACGCGAAGCCGAAGCCGATTCATACTCTTCCAGCCGTGACTACCGTGCAAGGGAACGGGAGGATCGCTACTCGAGCCGTCGGGACGATCGGGAGTATGATCGGGAAAGAGGTGACCGAGGTGACCGGGGTGATCGAGGCGACCGGGGCGACCGGGGCGACCGGGGCGACCGGGGCGATCGCCGACGCAGAGACTATGACGAGCGACCATCGCGTCGAGAGAGAGACAGAGATTTGTTCGAGGATCGGCCCCGAAGAGAGCGCGGCGACCGGGAGCGCGGCGGCGGCGGCGGCGGCGGCGGAGGAGGAGAAAGGAGAGACCGAAAGAGGAGTCCGTCTCCTTCGCGCAAGAGGGAGCCGACGCCCGACTTGACCGATGTGCAGTCGGTATTGACGCGAAAGCGCCGCCTCACGCAGTGGGACATCAAGCCCCCTGGATACGAAAATGTCACCGCGGAGCAGGCGAAGCTATCAGGTACGATTTACTTCTGTTCAGTCAGAGCACAGCTGACAATTTAGGCATGTTCCCCCTCCCCGGAGCTCCTCGACAACAGCCGATGGACCCCAGCCGCCTTCAGGCTTTCATGAACCAGCCTGGTGGTGGCACCGCAGATACCTCAGCCCTCAAGCCGTCCAACTCCCGACAGTCCAAACGCCTCTTCGTGTACAACCTACCTCCGAGCGCGACTTCGGAATCCTTGGTCTCTTTCTTCAACCTTCAACTCAACGGGCTCAATGTCATCCAAAGCATCGACCCGTGCATTTCTGCCCAGGTCTCAGACGACCACACCTATGCACTGCTTGAATTCAAGTCGCCCAGCGACACTACTATAGCGCTTGCATTCGATGGGATTACCATGGGAGAGCAGGAGAGTAACGGGGCAAACGGGGCAGCCCAGGGTTTGGAAGTGCGACGTCCCAAGGACTACATCGTCCCCAACCTTGCTGAGCAGGAGCTCGAGGGAGGATCTTTGATGAAGGATGTTCCAGATTCACCCAATAAGATCTGTGTCTCGAATATTCCGCAGTACATCCCAGAAGAGCCGGTCACAATGCTGCTCAAGTCCTTCGGCGAGCTGAAGTCCTTTGTTCTGGTCAAAGACTCTTCGACTGAGGAGTCCCGGGGTATCGCGTTCTGCGAATACGCCGATCCTAACACTACCACCATCGCTGTTCAGGGTCTCAACGGCATGGAGCTGGGAGACCGACATCTCAAGGTTGTCCGAGCCAGTATTGGAATGACTCAGGCAGCTGGGTTGGACATGGGAGTCAACGCGATGTCTATGTTCGCCAAGACGACTTCCCAGGATCTCGAGACCAGCCGGGTGCTGCAGCTGCTGAACATGGTAACGCCGGAGGAGCTCATGGACGGCGAGGATTACGAGGGTAGGTTTATCTCTAGGAAATGATCGCAGTAACGGACGCTGACCGCGATAGAAATTTGCGACGACGTGCGCGAGGAGTGTTCCAAGTTTGGTCCTGTCCTTGAACTGAAGATCCCCCGTCCCTCAGGCGGTAGCCGACAGTCCCCCGGTGTGGGCAAGATCTTCGTCAAGTTCGAGACTGTTGAAGCAACAACAGCGGCTCTGAAATCGCTCGCGGGCAGAAAGTTCTCTGACAGAACTGTCGTCACGACGTATTTCTCCGAGGTAAGACTCTCGTATTCCACATAACGGCAATGTCTAACGATTGCAGGAAAACTTCGACGTCAACGCCTGGTAGTAGCAGATCTCGACGCCTTCTGGCTTGTTAATTCCACGATGTTTTCTATCCTAACCTTCCCATCTGAGATTCCCGGGAGATTTACAGTAACGCAGGGTCGGTCAGGTTTGTCCTTGGGTTAATGATGTACCATAGCGATCAATGCAAAAATCAAACCCTTTTCTGGTCCGTTTGCACTAGTAGTCGATAGTCTGGCTGTCAAGCCGTTAAATGTCAGTGCGGAGAACTAGTTTAGCCTTCCATTATCAAATTATACCGGACCTCCAACTAGGGATCCTGGATGCAATAGTCTGACTGGATTCCGAATCCCGCTCCTCGAGATGCTCTACCGTGGGTCATCACATGGAAGTAGGATTCACAAGGAGACAACCCCTCATTGACCTCCACTACTGAAATCCGTCATCCTAGTATCCCCTGTCAATAGTAGTCCCAACCTCCCAGACCGAGGCAAAAGCCAAGCAATCCAAATCCAATCAAATCCCTCAATTGCCCGAAGTAAATAACGCGACATACGGCTTCTCCGACAAATTGGACCACCTGAAAGAGGCAAGAAGAGAAACTAGATACCGAGCCACGTTATGGGACCACGTTCTGTGTCCCCACGGGGTGCGGGTAGAGTAGTTCGATTCGATATTGCGATGCGATGCGATTGAGATTGAGTAACATGATAGATCACAATTTGGCCTTCGGCATCTATAATCCATATTAACATAAATGGCATTGTGGGACGCGGCGAAATGAACAATGAACCTGTTCGCTTCTGGAGTCGAAGGATTTGCTGCAAATTGGTTATGTTTCTTGTTTTTGACGGCGTATTACAGATACAGATACGCACCCAAATACTCCGATGAGATGAGATAAATTGAAATAGATTAAACCCAGTCCCAAGCCCTATTCATATCACTTAGATAGCATATGGAAATACCCACCTGCCTATACTGTCTTACCCCGAGTCCGAGGGTACCCTATCCATATGGTATACCCTGTAGGCTTGCTAAGCCTCCATCTCCATCTCGGAAGGGACCTCGGAAATAGCGTAACGCTTACTCCGGACTGCAGTCTCACCTCCAGCTACTACTAACAGAACAGAGGCTTAGCTACTCAATTTGACTCTGCGCTAAAGTCTGACAGGTACAGTCGAGGCCCTGGTTACAGCGAGCCCGACACCAGGACTCTGGAGTACGGAGTTGTGATTGTGAGCGTCCCCCGCCACAGTCTGATAGCATGATCGAAACCCAAAGTCCCGGCATCCTGGGTCAAACGGACAACATACTACAACAGTACATTTCAAGTTTTCAACAAAGAACAGACAAGGGTAGGTTATGGTCAACGGCAAAGCCGACTCCTACACTCAGCGGGGGAATACCCAAAACAGACACATTGTGCGCTTTATGCCTGTCACTTGTGTAACGAAAAGAGACTCCGCTTACGATTACGGTAGACCAGACCCTCGCAAGGATAATCCGAATGGAAGGCCAAAAAAACCTTCTAGATGCGAGGCCCGAGGCTAAGATGTCTACCGTATGTACGGAGCTGCATGAGCGTTGTATCATGTGGCTGGGCTGGGCGTGTTTCGTAACGTTCGTTGAACTTGGTCTTGAGCGAGGTTCGGCGCGGGAGTTTCAGAGATCCTAGGTACTCCGTACTCCCACGTGGGGGAGAACCATTCCTTGCATTCTATGTCAAACCATGTGCGTGAACTAAGTATACAGTAAGACCTGGACGGGGGGAGAAGCCATGACGCAGGTGTTTCAGGCCGAACCATGCCCGGCTGGGGTTGGGACAGCGGTGCTGCATGTATAGTCATCGTGCATGTCAGGTTTGAGAAGCGTACTGCTCTTGAGACTGCCGAGGCTTCCAGAATACTTCCATCGTGTTCCCAAAAATTAGACGTAACGGTCCCGCTGGTCGAGGTTCGTTGGCGGAGATTACCAAGGGTGACTGTGTAGATCTACCGAATTTATAGATAGCTGATAGAATGGGACTCGTAGTCTCGTAGTGCGTACTCCGAGTTCGGATTGGATACAGTAGGTCTCTATTGAAGTGAACTTCGCTTTCATTATCATCGACTGCTATAGATTATGAGTCGTATGATCTGCAGGGAAGAGCATCCGTGGAACAACGACCTTGGACGTTGTCTCCGGCTCAAACTGCCGAGAACCTAAGAGAACGTGCTTTTCATAGATATAATTGAATTCATTATTGTATGTTATTCCAGCCCTTGTTCTAGGAATTCCGCCGACTCCTGAATACTCCGGCCTGCCCCTGTAGCACGTTGACCCGCCACACGTAGTTAAGTAAGGAAAAAAGAAGCGAAATTCAATAGCTCCTGGGCGCCTTGGCCGGTGAATATGCATATGCATGTCAGAAGATCTGACAGTTAGACTGAACGGAAAGAAATTAGGGTATAGTCGTGCGCATCGTAAATATACATTGCTCTGCTTTTAGAGGAATATTATATGGAACGTTAAAAAGAGAAACTGATGTCATCGGTTGCCCGGCGCAAATGTAGACGCGGGATCCCAGTCTCGTCCTGGTGACGTTGGTGGGCGTGGCCCGGAAAAGCTCATCGATGGCCGTACGTATCGTGCGTCTCGACCGTAGTGGTTGTTCAGGTCCGGACTCATTGTCCGTGCGGTGTACGCGGGGCTTGGGGCCCGGACGTAGGGTTCTGCGTATGGCTCTGCATACGGCTCGGGATTCTTGAAGGGTGATAGCATTTCGTAGTTGCTTGCGTCGCTGCGCTTTTTGCGGGCGTCCGCAGAGACGAATTCGAATTGAGCGCGGTCATTGGGACGGAATAGCAAGTCCCACCATCCAAGGAACATAGAAGGGCGCGCAAATAGGACAAAGTTCCAGAGGCCGACCAGAGTCAAGAGAATGAGAAGTGTGAGCAGAGTTGCTTTGTTTGGTCCGAAATCCCTGGCTTTGTCGTAGCATTGTGAAGCATCTCCCTCGCTTGTTACGAGGCACATGAGCCACGGCAGGGCCTTTTCGACGTTCGCTGGCGTCATTTCCGTCTGGCTATTTGTTTTGATGAAGATCACGGCAAAAATGAGGACGTTGGCGAGGATGACGAGAACGAGGCAGTTGCTTCGCCATTGTAACTTGAGGATCTTGCGGACACGGCGGTATGCTTGACGAGCGCTGAGAGTGACGGCGCTGGCGGTATAGGATGGAATGTTTGAGCTGTTGGTGGTCGACGCAGTATCGTAAAGGGACTTGATGTAGATGTGCACGCAGTACCCCATGGTGCTAAATTGCATAATAAGGGCTGCGCCTGAGAATGCTATGATAGGTATCCAGTAGTCCTGCAAACTCTTCTCGATGTTTATATGGCACACATCGCCAAAACGGAACGATACTCCTGTCAGGGCAAGCATCACCGATGTTCCGATGACGGGTACTCCCAGACCACAAATGAATGCCCCCCACATAAACCGAGGCCCGAGAATCACCTCCCAGCAAACTTGAAGATGGAATGCAATGGTGCGGATAAAACTAAACACCACAACCACCCATCCGCCGAAGAGCAGCATTGCGCCGGTAAAGGCACAAGATACGCTGGAGTACATATCTCGGGGCGTGATCTCATTGTAGCATTGGTCCGGCTTCGTACCGAGGGGGATGATGAAGGCGATCTGCATGCAGCAAATGCCCAGGGTAAAGCAGATGCTCAGATAGTGACGGTGTGTTCGCTTTGCCGGCAGAACCGCATACGACACGAGTAGGAATACGCAGAGCGGCAATACGGCGACGGAGACCCAGCTTGCGATTCTCGTTTGCTCCTGCAGCTCTGAAAGTACAGTGTCAGAAAGAATAGTAGAAGCGTAGCGAGTCTCTATGACGCCTTACCTTCTCCATACATCCACGATGCTTGTGGACATGGCAGGCAGCAGGTAACATTGCCCAACTCCTGGCAGAGGCGTCCTCCGAGAACTATGGAGCGCATCCGTCAGTGGAGTGTAGATTGGAAACATGGAGTAACAACGTACATCCACCATCAGGGTCAAAGAGCGACTCCTGGTAGTACGGAACTGGGCACTCTCCATTCAAATTGTTCCCAGACATGCTGCGAGTGTCACTTTTGGAATTCTTGAAACGTAGCGAATGCGGTCAATGCGACGTTGATGGTGATGGGCATATTCTGACTGCGGTGTTTTCTGTATAACTCTCAGACTGAAGACCTCGTGGCAGAGGCTCGCAGCCACGCGACAATTGCGATTGAGCAACAAGACAACGTAATTATCGAGTTCTCGCACCAAGGCGAAGGGGACGGAAAGACAGGCATGGATGGGGGAGGGGCGAGACACAGCCAGATATAGTACGGAGTGGTCTGTGACGGTCCCCAGCAGCTCCGATGAAAAGAGATTTTCGTGGGACGAATGATGAGCGAGCTGGAGGTCCGTTCGCTCACAGGCACGGAAATCGACGCGATTTGCCTCCAGCTGGACATGATTGGATTGAGGGCTGCAAAAGAACCCTCGAGACAGCGGCGGAGACAGGCTTGGCCTCAAGGGGGAGCGAGGGATAGGTGGGGAGCCAGAGCAGTGCGCATCCAAAGAAGAGAGAGAAATGCATCGGGATAGCACGCTAGAGTCTCATGGGTTCCAATCAACCGGAGAGAACCGAGAAGTGTATCAAGATGAGGCCCAAGTGGGCGAGGAATAGGATTGTTGGGCGGGGCTGTACTGCTGGTACCGTACCATACCAGATCTTACCAGCCGTAATCTATCCGCCCACAATGAATCCTCTAAGACTCTCAGTCTCAGTCGGTCGACGTCGAGGCTCGCCATCAAGTGCTCCACGATTCACCATCCGCGATCTATTTTAGTCTCCGTCTCTTATCGCTTGAGTCTGGAGTACAGAGTATGTCACAAAAGCTACGAACTCTTCCGATCAAAGGGTGCAGAACACCGGAAATTTCGTCTCCCCGTGCTCGAAATAGCAGCGCCTGCTATTGCTCCGTGAATTGCCTTCTTCAAGGAGCAGCTCGAGTAAGCGACCCCGACCGTCCAGCCCAGCGATGTTTACCCGCAGCTGACAAGGATTCGCGGCTCCGTCAGCCCATCCTCCACTCGCCGCCAGCTATACCAGAAGCAGTATCAAGTCCAGGCCTAGCGCTTCAGGGCGGCATTAGCCATGCATGTTCCGTGGCTTCCCTCATGCTGATTGACGCTGTCTTCGAAAGAAACTTCGGCCGTCTCATCATCACGGCCACTCGGGCTGCAGCTGCTGCAACCTTGCCCCTGGTGCCTTGTCGTCAACCCCTCGCACGAGGCTACTGGCGCATGGCGGCGTCTGTCAGCTCGGCTGTGCCACGGCTACTCTTTTATGAGCGAATCATATTCGTTCATCTTCGGGGTTTTTATCTGCTTATTCTGGTTCTTTCTGAAATCTGAATAATGCCTTTGATCGTCTTCTGCCTGGGTATCTAGCCATGGCCCATGATCCATGATCCATGGCACCTGCTGACCGGGATATTCTGACTCCTGAGGCAGCTAGATCCACTGGAGTTGAGGCCTCCTGCGTCTCTGACTATCCTCCACACTGAGTCGGTGGGTCGACGTCGGTACGAAGTATGACACTTTTCGACTTTCCACGTATGGAGTGGATTCTTACTTCTGCCACGCGACGATCGCTCCGGAATATGGCGAGTGCTGTTCACTGAAGGTTTCACTTCGGCTTGTGGATAGGCATTCTAGATCTTCACAACGCCGGTATGATGGCATCGCATCTTTTGTACGTCACTGACACGGACTTCTCGCGAATGACTTGATGGTCAAGGTGGTGCTGTCCGTTCTGAATCATGAGCGCTGAGAAAGAGCCGCACAAACTGCCCACATGTCGGCCACTGTACAGTATACACCAGCTCAAATAGGGCATGCTGCGCGTGTGTTCGATCAGCATACATGTACCTTTCTTGGCCAACGAACATCCATGGAACATGCGGTAGAAAGTCGGTTTCCGGACCGGTTCCAGAAAATCAGGCATACTGGCACAGTGTCCTCGAGTTCCTCGGGTGCGCGCAGGGGCTTTTTCGCAAAGAAGTATGGATTGTCGGCGCCTTTTCTAGGTTCTCTCAAAGCATCGAAGCAATGTCGATCTGCTTGCCCATTTGTTTCAGGTATCGAAATGCAGTCAAGCATGATTCACCCCACCTGCTTTTCTTGTATCAGATCCAAAACGCCTATCATTTCCGCTATTGTGCTTGCTGATACGGAGTAAGGTCATTGACAGTCCCTCCTGACAGTCTACGGGTATGTCATAAGCCATAAAATACCTGCCAGGCATTAAATACGGAGTGCAGATTGCGACAGCGCTATTTTGTCTTCGCATGGGGATTCAATCAATGCAATCTCCAAATTGTTAGTAACCGCGCATTGAATCTTATGCCCAGAGTCTACCAAGACTGGATTGTGGATATCCCCGAGATACGAAATTGGCCTCGATCACGAATCCGACATCTCAATCCCATCGAGATCAGCTCTACCCCGAGTCCCCGACGAGGGCAATTAACTTAGTGTAACGTTCGAGACCCTTCGATTGCAGCCACAATATATAGAATACGACGCGACAATCAACTCATTGCTCGCAGCTTACTCCGGCCCTGGTCCCTGCTCCGCAGTAAGCAATGAAGTTCTGGATCTTTTGTCAGCTTCGATTCAACTCTGCATTCGTCTCCGCCGGTGTGCACCTCTCCGCCGCTGCATTTTGAGCATACTCGCCGAAATTTCCATTATGTTGAGTGGAATTGCTTTGGTTCTACTGTGTGATGAACTTGCATTGCTCACATCAGCGGCATGAAGACGCGATCTAGGGCTTGGTTATGCAATCGAAAAATCTAACCTTCTAGGAGATTACGCGGCGCTGTTGCATCCCCCGGATTTCTCGAGGTACAGTGCCAAGTATACGGTACTCCATCGATAGAAACCGAAGGAGGCTGTGGACGTTGGACTCGGAAGCCTCCGAACTTGATGGCGGAAAGCAGGACAAAGAACTTCGATTGCTTAGCGACGCCTCTGCGCCGTACCAACCCTACGGAGTAGCATCCGGCGATCATTACTTTCCATGTCCTTGACGTTACGGAGTATGGCGTCGCATGAACGACGAAATGCCGCAGCCAACGGATAGACCAGGATACCTTACTCAACGGAGACCGGAGGCTCCCGTTTCGTGCTGAGGGGAAGGTCAACAAGTCATCGGCCAGCAGAAGCGACAATCCTCAAACTCACGACTACCGTTCTTATCATCGAAGCGAGCCTAGCGAATGGCGATAGGAAACCTTGGCTATTAAAGCCAGCGACTTGGAGAATAGCGAATCGGCTGACTGACATGACGAAAGGAATCAAGCACAGGTCATGTTTGCAAGATCTCATCAGCATCACAGCCCGTGGCGTCTCTCGTCGATCCTCCGCAATGCAGCCACTCCAGTAACGCTGCAGATGCTTCAGCTGTATGGCCAACGCATAAGCGCGCGGTCGGCAAGATCACATACTCTTCCAGCCAATCGGCGCCGCCTACTTAGGGCTAGGGGTGACGGTGAGACCTGTTGGTGCTGCAGGCAAGCCACCCGCGGTGACTATAGGCCCGTCATCAAGCTGACCGCAGCTCGTGGGATTCGGCAGCTCTGCATCGACTTCACTCATAACTGCCTTTGCAGTCTTGTTGATTTCTCGGCCGCCGTGCCGCGTGCAGCGCCTTGAAGCTATCGGCTGAGATACAAACGGGATGGTGAACTCTGTACAGCCATTGTCTTTACAAGACCATACTTGACCGTTGTATACAGTCCTGATTTGCCGATTCCATACGATGCCGCCGCCGTCATTCTCGTCAGGATCGGTCTCTTCCCCTATTATTCCCCGCGCCGACCAACTGTCAACACTAGATAGCCGACTGCATATCATGTTTGCCCTCGCCGAGCTGACCCTCTTTTCCCGGCGTGCCTATCGACTTGCGAGACTCGAGCGGACTGCTAAGCCAAGATCGCGGATTGCGCGCATGATGTTGAGATACAGACTACAGTTCGCTCTATCTCTCGCTCTTTAGGTTCCGGCTAACCTAGCGACTGGGTATCGTGGAGCGACGCAGGGACCCTACGATGCAGCTTTTGTCATCATCGCCATCATTGACTCCAAGTTGCGATGCAGCATCTCTCATAACCATGACCTTGTTCACTTCACTACTGGCAGCTTGCAGAGCTACGAAGCTGGGATCCCATGCTCTCGATTCCGAGGTTGATCAGTGAATCGTCATGATCAAGGTTGTCTGCGACCCGTGTCCGGTGAATCAACTTTGGTGTTACACACAAGAATCCCGCCTGGATGTCGACGGAACAGTGCAGGAACAAAAGTTCCTACGCTTGGACTTACACAGGCTTTACTCCGCGAGTCCGCAGAGGTTTAGCAAGGATGTTCCCCAACGCAGGGCTGCAGGAATGAGCTGTTCATGCGCGGTCCTGCTTCTACGCCGTGATCCAGCCTGGAACAATTTTGAGAGCTTGCGAGTGGTGTAACCATTGCAAAGAGCTTGCGACTTGCTACGCGGGGCTTGTATCAAGACCCTCTGAGCAATGCCGAGAAGGATTGGAATCCTACAGTACCCTTGCTCTCTGATGGGTTTCCTCTGAGTGGACTTACTACATCTCTTCCATGTTTCGGCAACATGCGCGACGTTTCAGGGTCTCGCCTTGCTCGAGTACATGGGCGAACCATGAAACCACTCGTTCTATGCTAGCCCCCCAAAGTTGACCATTCTCCATAGCTGGTATGCTTTGGGCCCTTGGTCGGAGTCGAAAGGACTCCAGTTACAGAAGCTGGCCAGCAACTAGGCGGGGTTTCAACGGCCCGGTTGTGCATTTGAACAAGCAAGAACCTAGTCCTAGTTCAGGACATTCATCTACCCAAAGCTCAAGATCTTGATTTACTCCGTAATGTATGCGGGATCGATGACAAGCTTCCACATGGCAAAGACAAAAGGTAAAGCTCGTGGCATTTCCATTCAACACTAGTGCGCTATCTGCTCTAAAACCCCGAGTCTTTGGTTGTACTCCAAGTCGCGGACGGTGGGACGAATGTCCGGGAGGTCTGTCAAGTCCTACTCGAAGCGAGTTAGTTAAGCTCCTCCAAAAGCAACTGAGTAACGATCGAGGAACGAAGCAGTATCAGAAGTCCATTTAGATCATTGGGCTCGACCACGAGGATCGAGACCCTGACATAAGAGGTACCAGAAATAAATAAAAGAAAGGTGTGTTTCATCATGCAAGAAATAGAGGAGCAGGTGGTGGGAAAGCCTACCTTTGCTACTACGCTCCCAGAGCGTTTCCCAATCCTCCATCCGCTCAAACTCCATGCGAACGACAAGCTTCCCTCTGCGAGAAACACGGAGCATCAACGCTGTCGCTTTCGCGTAGTCGAAAGAATAATTATGACCCTTGACCGACTGACAGAAATTTCTGCGGTCGGGTTCAAAACACGAGCGGTCGGTCGAAGTCTGGAAGAACAAGAGAAGGAAAAAAATTGATTGGATCTTAAGAGCTAAGCGAAGCATAAGCACGTGACCCACAACGCATCACATGACTCAGTCCCCACACTCGATTTCGCAAACCTCAACGCCGACAAATTCAAGATTCGATTCTCTCCGACCGACTTGCTATCGCCAACACCGCAACCCGTCCGACAACCACACCACACCACCTCAATCACTCAAAATGGGTCGTCTTCACTCCAAGGGAAAGGGCATTGCCTCTTCTGCTCTGCCTTACTCTCGCACCCCCGCTCCCTGGGTTAAGATCACCACCGAGCAGGTTGTCGACCAGATCTGCAAGCTCGCCAAGAAGGGTGCTTCTCCTTCCCAGATCGGTGTTGTCCTCCGTGACAGCCACGGTGTTGCCCAGGTCAAGACTGTCACTGGTACGTTGGGATCGGGTTCTTGTTGGATTTAAGAATTGAGGCTAACGGTCAACAGGTAACAAGATCCTCCGTATCTTGAAGTCCAACGGTACGACATCACCTTTGTTGCTTCCTTCGCGTAGACCGGTTGTGCTGGGCGAATGACGGATAATTACGTCGAGGGCAGGAATTGGGCGGTCTCTGGCGAGGAAGAGATTCCATGCGCAAGAAAACCATGAACAGGTTGAGATTTCGTCGCGATGAAATCCTCCTCCGCCAGCGACCGACTGCCTACTCTCGCGCAAGAATCCCAACTTCACCAGCGCCACGCCATTCGTAGAAAGCCACCCAGCGCGCAGAAATGCAGCTGCGGTTATGCCTCTGTTTGGTTTCAAAAACTGACGGAGTGATGTCCCACAGGCCTTGCCCCCGAGATCCCTGAGGACCTGTACCACCTCATCAAGAAGGTAAGCACACTACGCACTCTAATGCCCTTCAAACCGAATGAATGTATGCTCATTGGTATGTTCCAGGCCGTCGCCGTCCGCAAGCACCTTGAGCGCAACCGCAAGGACAAGGACAGCAAGTTCCGCCTCATTCTCATCGAGTCCCGTATCCACCGTCTGTCCCGCTACTACAAGACCGTCGGTGTCCTCCCCCCCACCTGGAAGTACGAGTCCGCTACTGCCAGCACCATGGTCGCTTAAGCGGTTTACTCCCGTTAGTGTGTGATATCCCGGGTCTGGTTGTTTTGTCGACGAGTCGAGGTCACGCCGCTCTCTTTGTCCATTCCGAAATGGATGGTCTTTCAGAGAAGAGCTGGTGTTGGGTTTAGTTAGAAGGAAGGAGCTATCTTATCTGCTAGCTAGGTCTGTGGCCAAGGTTGCCGCGAGTCAATGAGATTCAAAATATAAAAAAGTTCATTATCCCAACTTTCTCCCTTCACGTAACATTGGTTTCTGACAGATAGGTTTCCTGAACATTGTACCCCAAGATCATGTCATGTCCAATTCTTATCTTTCCAAACCAATTCCCTTAACCAAAAATAAACCAGGACCTAATCCATCAGTTGATCAGCATACTTCACGCCATCCCCCTCCAAACACCTCCCGGGACTCCTCCTATACACAAAATCCCCCTTTCCAGGCCCGCGCACACTCCTCAACCAAAAAGCCACCTGACTCGCAGGGTAAAGCGTCGTGTTCCGCCCCGACGAATGCAAGTACCAGCTCGCGCACCCGCTCGTCCAAACAAAGCCCCTACTGGCTTCATCAACCCACTGGCTCTCCTTTTCCTCTGCGAGGGGTGTAAGGCAGACTATATTCGGCTTGTTCACTGTCTTCTGACGGCGCGTGAACGGCTTCGAGATGAACCGGAACAGCTTCGATACGACGGATGGCTTGGATGGGCATGGGTGCAGAGAAGCCAGTATAGGATCGAGCACCTTGAGCGTAAACTCGATCTGGCATTCCGCGGTGAACAGCACGGATGTATGGCCCGTCGCTGTATTCGGTCCGACGAGGATGAAGAGGTTTGGGAAGTGCGAGACGCAGGTGCCGTAGTATGCGTTGGGGGCGTGCGCTGTGCTGATCTTCCACTGCACAAGTTCACATATCAGCATACTTGCGAGGCTATACATGGATATATAGGGCAGGACATACATGCTCACTTATACTCACGCCGCCCTCGCCGCGGATCTCATTTCCCAGAGGGAACAGAGGCTGGGACCCTTTGAATCCCGTTGCGAGGACGATTGCATCCGCGTGGACTTCCCTGCCCGATTCTGTCCTCACGCCGTGCGCAGTAATCCGCTCAATCGGATCATGCCGAACAAGCTCCATGTTCTCCCTGTGCAGACAAGCAAGGTAATCCGTATCCATGACTCGCCGCTTACAGCCCAGTTCCATCATCGGAATCAGCATATCATAATACTTCTCCGGCGCCATTTTTTTCAAGTAAGCGATTTGGGACCTCATTCTTTGTCCACGGGTCTTTCTCCCTTCCACGACCTTGAATGTGCTGAAGTAGCTCTCCAGATAGAGGAAGATCGCATATCGGAAACATCGCATCACGAGGGGAACATGCCGGAATACCCATTTGACGGCGGCCGGGTATACAGGGTTTGGCCGGGGCTCGAGCCAGTGAGGCTGCCGGATGAACTGCGTAACGCTTTTGGCGCTCCCGGGGGTGTTGGTTAGGATAGGGACGAACTGCGTTGCGCTGCAGCCGTTCCCTTTGCAAGCACAATACAGGTCAGGTCAGCCTCCAGACTTAAATGCTGCGACGGTACGGGGAAGCAAAGCAACGCACCAACAACAACGACATCCTTCCCCTCCCACTCGAACCCATGGTCCCAACGTGCACTATGGAAAAGCCGTCCCTTATACTCTTCAGCCCCGGGAATCTCACAGTCATTCGGCTCCGAGAGCAAGCCCACAGCGGAGATAAGCACCCTCGCCCGCCGCTCATAGATCTGTCCCGTCTGCTGGTCGAGGATGCGGACAGCCCACGTCCCCGAAGGCTCATCGAACACCGCCGCCTGAACGGTCGAGCGGAATGTGATGTGCCGCGGGATATCGTGCTCCTCTGCAACGGCCCGACAGTACGCGGCTATCTCGGGCTGGGACGAAAACTGCGCGCTCCAGTCGGGGTTGAGCGCGAAGGAGTACGAGTAGAGGTGGGAGGGGACCTGTGCAGCGTCATGTATCAGGGACTAGGGGAGGAAGGAGGGGATAGATCGCTGCGTACATCGCAAGCACAGCCGGGATACGTGTTCGCCCACCATGTCCCTCCGAGCTGCTCGTCCTTCTCGTAGATCTCGAAGGATGTGCGTGGGTATTTTTGCTGGAGACGAATTGCGAAGCCCACGCCGGATAGCCCGGCGCCGATGATGAGGACGTCAGTGTCGACGAGCATTGTCGCGGATGTGCTATAGCGAGATGAGGGGGTGATGAGGTTGACTCAAGCAGAGGTGCAGGTGCAGCTGCAGTCTGTTTGCCTGGCCGGAGAATAAATAGGTCAGCAGACCGAAACCCCTGTCCGTTCTTGCAGGGGTGCTCGGAATTCTTCACCAAAGGAACTTGACTGAATCATTTAAGACCTACTGCCATTAGAGTATTTCGAATGTGAGCCAAATAATACACGGCTGAATGGTATGCCAAAAAGCTATCAAAGAATGAGTATATACCAATGCGCCACGCTAATGCAAGCAAGTAGAATTGTCCCGAGAATGATAACCCCCGGAATAAAAAGAAGGAAGCAAATGGTATCAGATGTGAACACAAGCAGAGATTCGACGCTAGTAAACGGCCACCCCTAAGAATGCAGGGAGTACGGACGCTCCCGCCCCATCCTCGAGGTCATGAAGGTGAGAATTGATGGTGTTGTAGTAAGACACTACTATAAGTGAGAACCACGACTCTAAACAGTGAGTCGAGATGATTCTCTGGCGGTATAATGCTTCCACTTGACGAGTCGTGTGGGCGCAAGGGACCGCAGTATGTGAAAACGAAGCCAAGCTGAAAGCTAGATTCTAGCATGTGGGGCCTGATGAAAGACCATTCCAGCTGTTCATGCATTGGTCGAGCCGAAAAGGGACCGATGGACTGTGAAACCGAGCCATCAAGAAACACCCGTGACATCAGTATCCTTATCCCAGCCCCATTCCCTGCGCAATTGCTGAGCGCGGTACTCAGTTGCCCAGCCTAAGTCCTTCTCAATATCTTGCAGTAGCCGCAGAACCATTCGCCGCTCACTAGGATCAGTTAGGCATTGACCGCTAACGAACAGCGGCTGGAGAGAGTTGATCCGCACTGAACCCGCCGGACAGGCCATGGCAATGCCTACGATCTCACGGCTGTGAAACTGGATATCGGTCGAGTTGTATCGGCTGGTGATCGGATTCGTTGCACCGCTGGGCTGCGGCGGCTTGTGGATATGGAGCAGGATGCGACCCATGTGGTAATGTTGCATGGCGGACGAGCACATTGGTATACTATACCATATCTCAGACAACGACGGCGCATCGTCAGTTTTATCGCTCTGACTTGCGGTCTCTGGGATGCCGATACGAGCACATGGGTGGAATGTTTCCGGCAGACCTTTGTACCACACATCAAGCTCGGCTTCAAGACGGTACCACCGCTCTAGCGAGACTTGCTGGGGAAGACCCATGGGGCTCGAGTTTACCGCGCCTGGGGGTCCGACATGTGCACTTTTGTTCGGGCTTATGAAGTTTATGATCTTGGAGATGATCCAAACCAGCGCATTGGAGATCGAGTCTTCCTGCATTATACCCTCTCCCGGGTGCCCGCCCGCGCTCGCATTGTTAGGGCGCACAAATCCTAGGCTATCGATCTTAAGACCTGCCTCTGTCCACAGGGCGAGATCTTCAGTGTGTAATCTGGTGCGACTTCCGTTTATAACTAGCAAATGTCAGCAGGCTAAACGGACAGGGGGTATGAGAAGCCAGTGAACTTACAAGCAGAGAGATAATCTTGCCGAGCAAAGTTCCAAAAAGTTGCTTTTCTAGCCTTAGAGAGACTCGGTCTTGTGAGCTGCAGGGAGAGGTCCCCGGGTGGTAGGCGCTGGAGTGGTCGCATTCCAACCTCCGCTAGGTCCAGTAATGACTTGACGCCACTCAAATGCCGGTTCCATGCCGGACCCGTTGCATCAAGTAGTTCGTACACAGACAGAATAGCAGTGGCTGCCAATATTTCATCCGAGCGGACTCCATGTGAGAGTCTATACACGGTGTAACTCCGTGCACGCTGTGCATCAGCGTCATCACTCATTCCATCTACCTTGCCTTGAGCCGTCATATCACGGTTGCCACCATTGGGTTGTAGCTCCTTCATCAAGAGCTGAATGGCCTTCTCATAGTATTTGGCCCCTTTCCAGCACCAGTCGATATTGGTGGAATCTTTCTGCACTCCTGAAAACGCTCGACTTAGACGGACTCCGACAGATCTGGATACATGGACGTGCCCTAGCTGCTTTGCAGCTTGTGCACAAGCAGCGTATTTGAGTAATGGATTACGAAGTGCTTTGATTGGCACCTGGGATGAAAAATAGGTCCCAAAGTCATACAGGTCCATCCTAAGAGATGTCAGCCTTGTAGCGTGATGGATCGTTTGCCGTAACAGCTTACCACGGCCCCGGAACCTCTGAAAAGTGCCTCAAAAGAAAAGTTATCTCATAATCTGTCTCCACACGCCCCTCCAGATTGTTCTCGATTGGCTTCAGTGGTAATGGAGATCCAGCAGAATCTGGAGTACGCTGAATGGTTGGATCAATTGGAGGCGACAAAGACTGCGACGGATTAAGGAGGAAGTGAATATTGGTATTGTTCCCATTATCAGAATGGATCGAGATGGGCGGAGAGATCTGCGCTGATATTGACCGGGGTATCCGATGTGGATGAGAGGCGGGCATCGTTGTTGAAATAGAACTGAAGGGTGTAGTGACGCTTCCAGGCGTCGAAACAGACGGTTGGTCTACTACCAAAGCCGGATACGGAAGGCGATCATGCGCTCCAGCTGCAAGTGTCGAGAGCGCCTCGACGCCTTGAGTCTCCTCCCTCTCCGTCGGAGCTATCTGCGGATTATCCCAGCGCGCACTTTGCGAATTCGCAGCCAGTAACGCGGCCTCGGACTCTGTTAGGGCGGGCTCCAAGTCTTGCGTGTACGGATCTGAGTTGTCGACGAATATCACTACATCAAAAAAAGCTCCATGTCAGCCGTCACTTGTTCAAGCGCATAATCCATCGACAACCGTACCATGTTTTGGAATGTCCAGCCAAACACTATCCTTGTTAAACGTGTTCTTGTACGAGTAGAACCCCCTCAAGCTCCCGCGGCCGCCGTTGTCAATGTTATCGTTCATCGAAGCATTTTGCTGATGGCGAAAGACAACCCCTTCGCTCGGGCGACACTCCCTTCCACCTTTCTGACATTGGGTACACACGGGCTTTCGCTCGTCACCTAGTCCGTTTCAAGCGCACGGTTAGCAACATTCCTTTCGCTGTGCGGTAGTCAAGCATGGCAAGCAGGTAAAAGAACCACTCACATTTTAGTTTGCGGGTGCGACACGTCAAACTATCCAGAGAGGAGGATGCGATCACGCATCCCGGCACAGGTCAGCCTCTAATTCTTTGAAGCTATAACAGCTCAAGCCATCGCAGAATGAATCGCATGGTTAAGCAGATAAGAACCTGATACACAGCGGAGAAAGGGACTGGGGATACACGTACCAGCCTGTGCGGGATCGCATACCGTACGGTAACGTCTGCGGCGGAGCGACAGCATTCGAGGATCGGGGTTGTGGTAGATGATCTCGTAAATGCAGAAGGATGAAACTAAAAAAGCAGATAGTGGATAGATAGGATGACTATCCACCCTGGAAAGCGAGCGTGGAAATGGTGTCAGAAGTTGGGGGCTCTCCGCGAAATTGAAGATGTGCGGAGGCTCGGCGGTGGGCTCGGACAGCCAGGAGAAGCGGGGAGCGGAGGCGGACGCCGGACGGTGGCGATGATGGGCACATGGCCTGACATGACTCAAGCTCCCAGCGGATGGAGCTGACGAGCTATCTACCACGGTTGACGACACATGGCCATGGCTCTTATCAAATACATTTCACGAGCAGCTGAGAGCTCGAACGCTGCGACCTGGACATCCCCGGTGATCTCCAGCAAGTCGGGGTTACTCCGCGTTTTACCATCTGGGATGATCTGATTAGGTGTCGATAGAACCATAGCTCCACGATCTAGCGCATGCTATGTATGTACATTTCCAGTAGCTAGTAACATCGCATCTCCACTCGAAACCAGAGAGGTATAGTACAGAACTTGCAATATAAACGCAAATGCAAAGACGGCCGTCCTCCAGACATGCCAAACCAGAAAAACACACCAAGTGCGCAACATATGCGGAATTAAATTAAGGGTATAAGAGGGTATGTCCCACGAACGCCGTTCGAGATACCAGGGAGAATTAAAAAGTTCGAATAAGGCCAACGATCTTTGATAGATAAGAAAGGTGTCGTCTAGATGTCATGTTCCGAATCATATAGAGGGCGCCCCGGGGTTGGGCTGCTTCAACGAATTGAAGAGATACTCCGGAGGGAGCCGACGCATGGAGGTCGGTCGGTCCGTTCCGGTTGCCTGAGGGGCCGCCATATATCCTTGTCGGCGTCGCTGAATCTTATTGAAGATGACACCAGCAATGACGATCAGGAAAACACAGCCAAGCGCACAGCAGAAGGCCACCAGAACAACAATTCCGTTGGAGCGATGTCCACCTAGAGATGTTGTTAGCACTGATCAAGGCTTCCTGTAAAGACAAATACTTACTCTCTCTAGCATAGGGGTTGCTGTTCTCATAGAACATGCGCGACATGCGGCCGGATTGACCATCGGATGTAGATGAGATGATAAAGGGAATCAACGCAGTACCGTTGAACAGTGCAGCAGAGGCGATGCCAAAGTCTGGGACTGCTATTTGACCAGTAATCAACAGAGCAAGATCTCTGTTCAGTAGATCACTGTCGTCATGGTCATCGGCTAGAGGGAGAACATCGAGCCCACTGATCACCGTGCCATCATCAAAGATTTCTTGCGGCGGTTGGAACGCAGAGCCATCATAGTTGACGACAAAATTAGAGCCATTGATCGACTGCCCAGCAAGCCAGAATCGTGACATGTCCCCATTGGCCGGGCTAAAGGCCGTAACAGTACCTGGGATGGACGAACTTGAAGCCCCCTCGAAAACCTCCCAGTTTTGCTTTTTGGTAGAATAGCTTGCGACTGCGGTCTCATTGCCTGCAACAGTCAGGTTACCAACAGCGATCAATGTGTTGTCATTAGCCCACTTGAGCGCGAGAACGCTTCCCTCAAGTTCGACTCCTGGTCGGTTCCATTGCTGGCTGTCGGTGTCATAGTAGCAAATGCCTGGGCAACTCAGAGCACCAGCGGCGTCGAAATGACCTCCCACATAAATTTCATTGGAGTCTGGACGAGGCGCAATCGAGTTCACGGACACATTTTTGCCATTGAATCTCGAAGGCTGCTCCTGTACGATTGTTCCATTTTGGAGGTCGTACAGCACCAGTCCATCTAATTTGGTGTTACCAACTGTTCCACTGATCCTACCGCCAGCGTACAGAACGTTGCTCGCAATGGCGAGAGTGAGGAACGTGGAGTTGCTTTCAATTTCTGTCCCCAGGCCACTTATAGAGCCAGTGCTTCCGTCCAAGAAGGCCAGGTTGCGCACTGTAGAGCCATTCGTGGTCACATTGAAGTGACCTCCAAGAATTGTCAAGTTGCGGCCGGAACTTGTGTCATATATACCAGTGACGGTTTGACCAGTTGATTGGGTGCTGTTCAGCAGAGCTTCAAGCTGAAGTTCATCTTCTTGAAGTAGTGCCACCGCTCCACCAGCAGTCAGTCCACCTGATGATAGACTTCCGCCCAGGATTGTTGTGCCGTTGAACCTCGCAAAAGCTGAAAGATGGCCCGTGAATTGTGATTGACTGACATTGAGGTTTTGAACCCAGTTGTTGCGCGAAGGAACCCACGCAGCGAAGCCGGTAACGGCAACCGCGGGATAATCGTCAAAAGCGACAAGTTCGTCGAAGTCACCGCTGACAGCGATAATTGTCTCGTTGAGGTCGGTTGAAACATTCAAAGGAAGCGCAAAGATTCCCTTGACTGGCCCATTGACTCCCCCTCCAAGAGCTGACCAGGATTTAGACTCAAATGAATAGGTGGCGACATAGTTGAGATCGTGATCTCCGTTGACCGTTCCAGTGAAATTTCCGCCAGCATAAAGCTTATTGCTGAGGACCGCCATTGTGGTTACCTCAGAATTCAAGCCACCTTGAGGCATGGCAGTAGCATTTGCATCTTGCTCAAGCAAGAATACGTTCTTGATGTTGGAGCTTGAAAAATTGCCTCCAGCATAGATCACGCCCCCATGGGTCGCTAAGCTCTTGATGGACGCGTCAGAATCTAGCTGTGCCGTTGCGCTGTTGATTGTTGACTTCAGTAGATTCGCAGTGACATTATTCGAAGTAGGGTCATACTCGAATAAACCATTCAATTCAATGCTCGTGTCGTTGGACGCCGAAATAAGCTGGAACCTGACTCGAGAAGCCACAACGGTGATATCCCCTTGGCCAGCAACTGGACTAAGAGTCACACGAGGACGAAATGAATCATCGCTAACGTCTACAGGACCGGTGTAGATTTCATCGTACTTTTCGTAGTTGTTCGTCTGATAGAGCTGCTTCTCGATGCGGTCCGTAGAGTCTGCCTGAACAGTAGCCGTCACGTTGACAATTCCTCGAGAGTCGCAGGTGTCGTCCTGTACACAGCCGGGGGTAGACATGAGGATAGAGTAGTTGCCGGAACGCTGGATGCTGGGCTCGAAAACGACATAAGTGCTGGCCGCATCAGAGTCAGATACCTGCGCCGTCAAATAGTCGTTGGGGCTGTCGTCTCCTTGAGTGACAGTCCACGATCCTGACACATTAGACGTAGAGATACCACTGCTGTTGCCGCAGGTGGGTTCGTTGAAGTCACTGATGGCATAAGTGAAGACATCTATATTTGTTAGTACGTGCACCGCTGAATCGTCTCCTCTTAGACTCACCATTTGTGAATATTTCAATGCCATTCAACCCGGCGCCAGTGCCATAATAATCCCGAATCTCGAACATGAATCCGGTCATGCCAACCTGATTTACAAATCGGAAATCACGGTATTCCTCGTCCGAGCTGTCCGAGAGCGAGCAATACTGGTCGCAGTTAACATCATCTCCGGTGGAGGGATCCGTATAGGTCAGATTCATGATTCCGTTGTCGGGCAGCCGTCTGAACAGAAAGGACTTGGTACCCCTTCCCTCGTAATGCGTGTTGTATACGCGGAGCCTAGTCGGACTGAAGTTGTAGCGCATATCTGCGCGCCAGTATCCCAATGCATAGTCTGCCAACAACCACGTCTCTCCCGCACCTCCGTCGCCACTGGTCTGGCAAATAATGTTCTTGGGGTCGGTGAATCCTGTCCTGGTAGATGTGGTACTCGAAGTAATCGTTGCATTTGCTAGATTGATGACTTGCTCCGTGTTCTCTGTTGAATTGGTTGAAGAATTGGTTGAACTTGACAGATTCGTCGAGTTGCCGATATCGTCGAATGATCCACCAAAGATGATATGGCCCTCGTCATTTTTGATGATCGAGCTAACCGGTCCGTTGAGTCCACCAAACGATAAATCGGTCCACCCGTCGCCAACAACCCAAGCCGCCGCATTCGATGTATTCCCTTGTGTGAAAGAGCCGCCAACGTAGACGGTGCTGGTTTCCTGGTCGCAAAGCAATGCCGATACTGAGCCCGAAAGTCCTGGGAGGGTTGTCACTTTGTTCGAATTCGGATCATAAAGCGCGAAGCCCTGGGCCTTGTCGTCCCCTAGGCTGGTGAAATTTCCTCCGACATATATCCCAGAGTGTGTCGCGTCCTGCTTAGTGAAGGCGCACATTGCACGGATTCCGGCGTCGGTGGTAGATAGTGTGGTGAGGATTCCATTCGGAAGAGGAGCGAGGATCGACTGGGAGTCATCGTTGCCGAGTTTCGCGTCTCGTTGTTCGGCGTACTCGTAGAAGGTTACGGCGTCGAAGTCACCTGTGAGAGCAACTTGTCCGAGACGTGAGAGGTCCAGTTCCGGGCTAGATACTGGCTGGAACGATAATGCAGAAATGCGGGACAATTGGCCCAAGATCCATAGCTGCAGAGCTGTCGACGAGCCAGCCGTCGCAGGTCCAAACAGTGAGGGGCACCTCATTGTTCAGGATCGCGACGACAGGACAGCCCGAAGTAGCGCAACACTTCTATAAAGGAGACTCAAACGAAGATATTATCCCGCAAGACATTCAGAGAGGCGTAGGAAGGAACACGAAGATCGAGTTCAGCTCGGGCTGCTCGGCAGATTCCAAGTCACGTCGTGGATGGCGTTGACGTATCGCAGGCGAGAATACGAGAAAAAGGAGTGACCGGGTACGGAATGTGGAAAAAGAAAAACCAGTAAGAATTCGGGAAAAGAGAGTATATAAAATAAAAAGACAACAAGCAACAGAGTGTGAATGCAATATTAACAGTGGCCAGAAAAGGAGTGAATGACTGGAAGAAGTTGGATGGGCCAAACGAATGACATGGCAAGGGCCTTGGTTTGCTGGTGAAGCCTGAAGCCTGCTCCCTCTCAGTCTTCAGGAACAGCGGGACGGGACCTGGACGAAGGTTCCTTGGGACCGTTGCGGCAGGGAATTACTTTGGCCCGGGCGATCCAGCCACTGCCAATCACACACAATCTTCACGGGTCTGGTCCAGCCTTTGCGCGTCACAGTGGGGTGGGATGATGTTCCACGCTGAAACCTGTAAACAGACACTTTGGACACCGGTTTTCAGCCATGGCCATGCTCCCGAGTTTATGTAGCTTTGCCTGCAATGACTCGTGTGCCCTCCGACACTCACAGCAGTCGTTGCACCTTGGAGCGGGTAACGGAAGGGATGGAGGGCTGGTTGGTCCTCCAGTGCCGGTAGAATGTCGTGAAACATCCGAGACCGCGTGAAATATGAAGGGTCATGCCCAAATCGTGCGCCTTGAATAGGCTGGCCTAGGGTTGTACAATTTACCGTAAAGAATAATTCCTTACCTAAAATTACTAACCAAGGTTTATTTATTACTAACAAAGTAATAAATCACGTGATATAAAAGTGGGTTTAAATTAATTAATTAAAATATAGCTTGGTGCTTAGCTTTTTTACTAGCTAATTAAATATAAGGATTTTTAATTACTTATATAAAAAAAATACCAAAGGCCTATATTTATAATTTACACCTTATATTTAATAAAATATATATTTTTAAATATTAAAACTTTACCACCCTTACTAAAAAATTAAAAAACTTTACTAATATAGTTGGGTCACGAAATTCTTTATTAAAAAAGAATTTTATATATACTATTATTATTAAAAAGGTATTTTTATATTTTTATAATTTTTTTTAGATTTTTTAACATGTTTTAAAAACCTTTTTTTAAATTATAATTATTAAATATAAATATTGCACCTAAACACGCGCTAAAAACTTTACTTAATAAAAAACCTACCTTATAAAAAAGTGCATTAACTACCTTGCCTTAATTAAATTAATACCTTTAGGCCTTTTTTTTAATTAATTAATTTTTTTTTTAATAGTAATTTTAAGCAAGAAGCTTATTAACTTATTAAAATAGTTATTTTTACTAGCACGCGGCCTTTTTCTTTTTTTAATAACCCTTATTTTTAAAAACTTTTTTTTTTTAATATAAAGGCTTTAAATTATTATAATATTACTAGCCTAATTTTAAACTAGTACTATACTTAAATTTTAAAGCTTGTAGCTATAAAGCTTTTAAAAACATGCTATTTTAATATTATTATTAATAAAATAACTATAGTTAATAAACAGTAAATAATAACTATATATTTTAATACTTATAAAAACTTCTTTTTTTACTACCTTAAGAAACCAGGGAATATAGCTCTAGATATAAATTAAGTTTTTAATTAAATATATAACTATATTAAGAAGTACTTTATTAAAAATAAGGCTAGTATTAACTTTTTTTATATTAATTTTTTATTTTTTAATACCTATAATATTATAATAACTATATAAGATTATTTTATAGTAAAGCTAGGTATAAAACATGTTTTTTATATTTTTTATAATTTACATAGCCTTTAACTAGTTATTAAAAATCTTTTTATTAAATTTTGCCCCTTTATTAAAGCCACCTTTAATAAGGCCTTAAAAATTATATTACACTTTACTAAAGCGCCTAGGTAGTTAAAAAAACTCCACGCCTTTTAGGTTATTAAGTATAAAAATACTAAGGTTTTAATTACTTTAATTATTACTTGCTAGGAATCTTAATATAACATGCTTATTTTTATTTAGTAAATTTAAAAAGCTATAAAAAACTAGGCTTATAAGTTTATAACATAGCTAGTAAAAAAAACTAATTTTAAAATAACTTTAATTTATATTAATTTAGTTTTTTAAAGTAATTTAAATAACCTTATTTAATTACTTAAGCTACTAAATCTAAAGATTACTATTTTTAAAGGCTAGTAATTAAATCTTATAATAGTAAGCCTTTAAAATTACCTGCTTAATAATAATAATACTAATAATAATACTAACACCTAGGTAACTAACCACTAGCTAAAGCTTTAAAAAAATCTTAAAAAAAAATTAATAAAGCCCCCTTTTAATACTAATCTAGCTTAATATTTTAATATTAAATAGCTTTTTTAAATAAATTAATAAATAATAATACTTTACTAGCTTTTTTATTATTTTTATTTACTTAATGCTTACAAGCAGGTTTTGCTAGCGGATTAAAAATAAATAAAAAAAATTAATAAGTTACTAGTTAAGTATAGCAGCTAGAAAGGTTTAAATAACTTTTTTTTATTTTAAAATTAGCAAGACTACTTTTATAATAAAATAATTTAAAAAAAAAAACTACTTTTACAGCCCTTTAATTAATAAAATAGGTAGGTAAGTTCTTTTTACTATATAAATTTTATAAAAAAAAAATTAATTTAAGCGCTTAAATAAAAATACCTTACTTTAAAACTTATTAATCTAGCCCTTTACCTTTATTATATAACTACTAATTTAATAGCGGCTAAAAAATTATTTTTTATAATAAAGCTATAACATACCAAACTTTGTAATTAATTAAAAATAAAGTAAGTTAAAAAGCTTATTTTTATTTAATAAAATACTTATTTTATTAATAAAATTCCTAGTGTTCCACAGGCCCCTATATTAAAAAAATTTAATAAAATAATATTTATTAAAAATTAAAAGTTAAAAAAAAGTTTTTTCCAGCTTAGTAACTTCCTAGTTAATATAAATAAAAAAAATACCATAAAGCTAGCTTAAATACTTAATAAATAAGTTTATAAGCTTATTAACTAGCTACTATTTCTTTAGCTATATAAATAACCTTATATTAATTAAGTTTAGGGGCTAATTTACAGGTAGTTTAGTAACTAGCAGGCAGGTAGTTTAAGGGTGTATATAAAAAAAAGCAGCTGTAATAATATTTATAATAATATTTTAAATAAAAACTTTTTATTAATTAATAAAAGTAATATTATAAAGGTCCAAACTTACCTGTATTTATGCTTTTTAAAAAGGAGTTAATTTTATATATAAAGTTAAAATTATTACTTTACTAGCAGTTTTTTACTTAATAATTTTACTATAGCGCTAACCTAATTAGGAGGCGGTAAATCACGTGATTTTATTCTTTTGTTAGGAATTATTCCTTACCAAAAAAATCCTTAAATTTCAACTTTCCGTAATTACCGTCAGCTATTTTGTCCATCCCTAGGCTGGCCAGGCCGAGCTACTATTTTTGGAATTGGGCTTCTCGCATTCCGATTTCCCGCCTCGCGAGATTGAGAGACTGAAGGCTCTGAACGTATACAGGGACGAACAACCACGCTGGGGTGTTTGCTGGAGGCTTGATGGCTGAGGCACGTCCGCGCTTCTCAAGCCTCTCAGATCCTTGGGCCAGACTCAATCCTTGCTGTACCCCCGCAGCAGAAGAAGTTTAAACAAACGCCTGTGTTTCAAGTTAGCCGCTCCGCAACCCAGCAATCGACCGGCGCTTGGATCTCGAATCTCGATCCTATCTCCATGTACGGAGTATCCTACGCTTAAAGGGGGGTTGCTCCTGCTTAGAACACCAAGAAGGACCGGCATGGTTTATGAACGCTCTCCTTGTTCACAGCGCCTCGTCTCTATGCTCGGAGGTTTTGTTTAACAGTGATCATAGTCAGCATCTACAGCAACAATCAGTTCAGAGAGAACGAGCCTGGCTATGCATGCATCCGGTAGCTGTCCGGCCTAAAACTCGGCCTCCGAAGCAGACCAGTTATTGCACTGCGGGCTGCTGGACGTTGAGATTGCGAAGAGACCACTTTCGAACAAATTGCATATTTAATTATCGGCGCAGGCGCGGTACAAGCTGATCTTTTGACCTTTGGAACATCAAGCAATTCCTGTCCGCAACCATTGACAACATCAAAGGGCCCGGTGGAGATATTGTATTTACGAAGTAACTCTGAAATTACCCTGGGCGGGACATGAAATGCTAATACCTGTAAACCGGAGCAGTTATATATGAGTATTTGAATGCGGGTATAGTCGCCATAGTACCTAGGAAAGTCGGATGAAACACCTTCAAGCATGGTATGGAGTGGTAAGTACGATCCTATGTATGAGCCTAACTTGCTGAAAGAAGCTTGGAGCCTACACCTTCTTTTTCGATGGCCGTCTCTCTTCAACTCCTTAACGAGCGTATTGTCTCACTAAAACCTCCGAGTATCACTTTTGCACAGCGTTCCACCCAACGGCTGAAAACGAGATTTGGCACTACCAACTGTTGGGTATATAGAGTCTCAACCTGCTAATCACGACTCGACCAGGAGCATACAAAAACGAGTTTTCTATCGAAGCTCTAAAGGAAGAGGCGGAGCGAAGCTTCCATGGGGCCAAACAGTGCTTTAGCGCAAAAGTCCCGTTTCTATGGAGTCACTCACCCTGCTTCTGTGCGAATCATTATTTTTACAATCTCAGCTTGCGGGTCTGCAAAGCTGACCGGCGCAAATCACTGCCATGATGGATATTGGGCCGTTGCTTAGCCTCGCTGCCATCGCGATGTTGGCCCCAAGTCGGTCTGAGCCGCAGACTGCTAGGTACTGCAAAGAAATGCCCTATATAAACAAGGCTGATGCTGCAGAGATCTGCTGATTATTCTAACTTGCATCATCATCTCACCACACGCCCATTTCCTTTACTTCCTTTTCAGACTCATCTCATTAAGCCTTTCCCGTCATGGTCGTCCTTCTTCCTGCGCTGGCGTCGTTACTTTTTGCCTCGGATGCAGTCGCCAGACCAGCTCCGGCAAAGCAAGGTATTCGAGCCCCTGCACACCGATATATCCCCAGCAACAACATAGTCTCGCGGGATACTGGTGCAGTATATCACATCTGGAATGGCGGCGGGTGGATCCTGCCTGTGCTGGTTGGGGGCCAACAAGTCTTCCTGAACATCGACACTGGCTCCTCTGACCTGTACGTCTCCAGTCAAAGATTGATGCGCAAAGAAATTGGCTGATTTTGGGTCTAGATGGACAGCAAGCACTCTGATGCCTGAGGACCAGCAGATTACCGTGACTCGGGGATCCGTATACAACCCTAACAACAGCTCAACGTCACGAGAAGTTGAGGGGTACAGTTTTGGCCTGGCCTATGCAGATGGCTCCGGGGCTTCTGGACCTATGTACAGGGATACCGTCAACATCGGCGGTGCTATTGTACCCGACTTTGCTCTCGGAGTCTGCGATGATCTGCGATACGGCGAGGGCAGCGACGGCACTCGCGACACCGCTGGACCAGTTGGTTTAGGCTTCGGAAAACTCAACTCGATTCGGCCCAACCCACAATGCACTTTCATGGAATGTCTGGAGCCGTATGTCCCAGAGCCCATCTTCGGCACGGCATTCAAGCTCAACAACACCGGCTTCATCAACTTCGGCTATTCCGACCCAGAGGCGTACACCGGCCCTTTCACGGAAGTTCCCGTCGCCAATACTAGCTCCGGCAACGAAGGCCAGTGGATGAGTCTCGGTGTCAGCTTCGGATCTGGCGGTGATCTTTTCGACGCCGACCCTCTTGACATGGACTTCGACTCTGGCACCGCCTCCTTATCCGTCTCGTCAGACATAGCTGCCGCCTATTGGGCCCTTGTTGAGGGCGCTGACGACTCCTCCGGATCCTGGGAGTACCCGTGCGGCACTGAGCTTCCTGATCTCGACTTTGTCTTCTCTAATGTCACCCGTGGTCCCTCCACTGTGACCATCCCTGGCCAGAACCTCAAGAACGGCGACGGTACCACCGGTATGTGTGGCACCTGGATGAATGTCGTTGATGGGCGTGGAAATGCTGGTGTCCCGTTCTACATCAGCAAGTATATCGTCTGGAATCAAGCCAAGCCTAGCATGTCTTTCGCTGATCAGGTCAACTGATGGCGAGGAGCCTTGGAAGCCATGCTCTGTCTTATCTGCTGTATCTGAACATATGCCGTCATTAACAAAATGTATATATAGAAGCCTTATGTAGGGTATCGCCAATGGAATATGTAAATTGAGATCATAGTCCCTGGTTAATGTTGCAATGAATAACATCCTTCACCAAGTGCCTGTACACCGAACGTAATGGTTGAGGCCTGATTAGCAAGGCAGTAACGCTAAGCCCCTTTAGTCGGGAAGTGGCCAAGTTCCAACGCGACCGCAACGCGACTCTGATGCCGAGATCCATGCAGATTCATTCGGTTTGAGCTCGGTTTGAACAATCAAAACTTCTACCCCAACAACCTCCCTCTGAAAACACCTGCTACATCAATATTTCTCGTCGCCTTACTCTCAACAACCTCTTTCTACCTTTTCTTTTCCTCCGAGTCTCAGTTCAATATCCAATAGCTCCTCCAACATGTGCGCTTCATTCAAATCCGCCCGTCTACCCCAAATACTGACTGTGGTACCAGGGAGAGCTTTGATAACATCTACCTTGACCTCTCAAAGCAGTCCGGCAAGTGCAAGCTTGCAGAGACCGGCTTAGGTTGGCGACCTGCTGGCGGCGGCGACACCTTCACACTCGATAGCAGCAACATCGGCGCGGCTCAATGGAGCAAGGCGGCGAAGGGGTTTGAGCTGAAGATCCTATCGCGCTCTTCAGGCGTCATTCAGCTCGACGGATTTGACCAAGAGGTAGGGATCCAGTTGGCATTCGTCCGAACAGTGGTCTTACGATCGATCTGCAAAATTCTAGGACTTCGAGCGACTGAGCAAGGCATTCAAAATTTGGTACGGAATCAACGTGGAAACAAGGGAACACGCACTTCGAGGATGGAACTGGGGTAAAGCAGAATTCACCAAGGCCGAGCTCGCCTTCAATGTTCAGAACCGTCCCGCATTCGAAGTCCCCTACTCCGAAATTTCGAACACAAACCTTGCTGGTAAAAATGAGGTCGCCGTCGAACTCTCCCTCTCCGTTGACCCCAATGATTCGAAACCCGCCGGAAGCACAAAGAACCGCGGTCGGAAAGCGGCGGCCGGCCCCGATGAACTGGTCGAGATGCGTTTCTATATCCCCGGAACGGCGGTCAAGACGGAGAATGGCATCAAGGAGGAGAATGCGGACGAGAAGGACGGAGAGGAAGGTGGGGAAAACGGCGAAGAACAGAACGCCGCCAACCTGTTCTACGAGCTACTTATGGAGAAGGCAGAGATTGGAGATGTTGCTGGCGATACCTTTGCGACCTTTTTGGATGTCCTTCATCTCACGCCCAGGTATGTCTTGTGCAATCGCTTGCGCTCCATCTTGATGTTAACCATTTTTCCAGAGGTCGGTTCGACATCGATATGTACGAGTCCTCCTTCCGGTTGCGCGGAAAGACATACGACTACAAGATTCAATATTCCTCCATCAAGAAATTCTTCCTGCTCCCAAAGAACGACGACACCCATACTCTTATTGTTCTCGGCCTCGAACCTCCCCTCCGTCAAGGCCAGACCCGTTACCCTTTCTTGGTGATGCAGTTGAAGTTGGATGAAGAGATTAGCCTCGAGCTTAACATGACGGATGAACTTCTCGAGTCCCGCTACAAGGACAAGCTCGAGTCCCGCTACGAAGAGCCCATCCACCAAGTCGTTACAAAGGTTTTCCGTGGTCTGTCAGGAAAAAAGGTTATCATGCCATCGAAGGACTTTGTCAGCCACCACGGACACAGTGGAGTGAAGTGCTCAATCAAGGCCAACGAGGGTCTCTTATACTTCTTGGATAAGAGTTTGATCTTCGTTCCCAAGCCTGCTACCTACATTCAAATGGAGAACGTCGCCGTCGTCACTATGTCCCGTGTTGGCGGCGCCATCTCAGCCAGCCGAACATTTGATATCACCGTCAGCCTGAAGGCCGGCATGGGCGAGCACCAGTTCAGCAATATCAACCGGTAAGCCGAACTCGCGCAGACGAGCCCACACATTCTGTGAAAAACATTGCTAACAGCCGTCAGCGAGGAACAACAACCCCTCGAAGAATTCTTCAAGGCCAAGAACATCCGCATTAAGAATGAGATGTCGGACGACGTACGTCCTTACCCCCCTACTCACCCTACATACCTTATTAAACTAACTTCAAACCCAGACAAACGCCCTGATGGCCGCAGCCCTAGACAACGACATGATGTCCTCAGACGACGAAGCCGGCGCTCGCCCCGACCGCGGCTCCGCAGACGAAGACGAAGAGTCCGTCGACGAGGACTTCCACGCCGACTCGGACTCCGACGTCGCGGAGGAGTACGACTCCGCGCACGAGAGCAGCGGGAGCGGAAGTGATGCGGAAATGGACGATGCCTCTGATGCGGGCGGCGACGAGGATGGGGATGGTGATGCCGATATGTCCGAGGAGGAGCGGCCGAAGAAGAAGTCGAAGACTGGGAAATAGGCTTGAGATGGACGGATGTATTTTAGTTTTCACATACGAGGTCATTATTTTTTGGGGGGAGTTAGTCTTTTATTCTAATAAAGGAACGGTTCACAATAGGCAAGGCTGTTTTTGTTTTGTCATTACACTATGGCTTATTATTGCTTCTTGCTTGCTATTAGGTCAAACCCCGGCCGCCGAGTACTCTAGGCACATATGTGGTTAATGCACGACTTTAAACTTTGAACCCACCGGAGAGTATCTGACATTGCTTAGTATTCACTTCAGGCGCTGCGTTTGCTTGCATGAACTACCTATCAGTACGTACGTACTCGGTACAAGACTACGAGATGGATTCGAGAGCAACAAGATGACAGGCCTACTACTCCGTTCTCCCTTCTTCGTGTACTCATTGCCAGCCCGGGCTGAACCCCGCAATGCCTAAATAGGTAGTATGCATGGTTAGCTGGAGGCGAGGTGGGACAAATGGGGTTCTGATTACACTGTCATCCAGTGCGTATCTTGATCTATCAATAGGTGGTGGTCGTTTTAGAAACCTTGGAGAATACTTAGATTGATAAGAGGAGCGTGACCTAGAATTGGAGTTCTGGCGAGCCATTCCCCACCAATCGAAGTCCATATCGTCAAGACCATGTCTCAGTAGCAGAGCCATGTTTGAGACATGGCCTTATTCTATTCGACAATCGACAGTCGGCATGGCTGAGAGTTTGATACCCTTTCATGCCACCAGGTAGACGTAAGCAGTGGCAGTGGAACTCAAGTTGCGGTGAGCTTGATTGAACCCAGGACTGGATGAGTTCAGGGTTTATAGCAGTTGCCCATGCTCTGTGGGTTGAGTGCGTAGGACAGTATTGCTTAGTAGGACGTCAACGTCCAGTCTAAACGGGTTTTCTGCGGCCTGCATAGTACTCGGGACAAAGTGCCTGCGTCGGCCTGGCGAATAAGGCTCAGGCTACATGTACATGGCATATGCGTATGTGTAACCTTGGCTTGTCTTCCGCCTCGCCGTCATGGCAAATATCTGATGTCGATGGGGGCTGCAAATCGTGGTGTGGTGTGGTGTGATCCCGATGGCCACGATCTAGACACGGTATAAACATGAGTCCATCACCTAAGAGCACTTGACCTCAGGACATAAACAGCAGTTCAAACTCGGCCTTCTGCTCAGCAGTAACTGATTTCTTGCATTGCTTCAAAGCGATGAACGGGCGTATTCAAGGTTATTCCTGGTGTGACAGTCCGGCGCCGTTGAAGCGGCAGTGATTGGCTCCAGGGATCTGCCCTGTAATTTAACCCCTGATGCTGACAGCCAGAATACCAGGATACCGCCCAAAATCTTAGCGATCTTCATGGGCCTTGAAGAACCCTAGGGATAACGTCTGAACTTCCAAGGCTCTTGATTGCTAGGATCACGGAGGTTCGTCTGGGTTGTTAGTCCAAGAACCCATGGGCGGAATCTCGTACCACCAGTCGCGGGTACTAGACCACCATCTCCGAGCTGAAGTAGCACATAACGGATTTGCATTCTGCACCAGCTCAGTTGCTCTGCGCGAGAGGCGACGTTTTAAATATGAGCATGTCAGAATGCGCCGTTCAATTGGATGGTCTGGAGCGGAAATTGCATGGTTAAGTCTGTGTTGGCAGGACTGGTACTGTTCATCTCAATCTTTGGGTCGCCTCAGGGGTTGGCGACTACTGGCGATGCTTTACCACGAGAAGGAACAGCTGGAGTCAATGAGCGATTGCCTCAATTGGAGTCCAGTCAAACGAGATCAGATGGTAGAAAAGACATGTCTTTTGTAATCCCGTAGGCCAGAGGAGCGTCGCTGCTAAGAACTAGCTTCCTAACTGAGAACCCCCTTTCTTTGGCTAGGTGGCTCTGGCTCTGGCTCTGGCTCCCGACAAGTGCTTCAATCCACTCCGTCAACTCTCCGCAGGTCCAGTCCTTCGACCCTTCCCCCTGTCCTCACCACCACCACCTTATTCACTTCTCTCTTTCAGCGTCCTTTTTTTCTCCCTTAATTTCTGTTAGAAGGATCTGTTTTCTTTCTGATTCTGATTTCCATTTGAGCGGTTCATCTCCCTCGTGGATCTCAGTCCCTTTCTTCGGATCTCCTTTTCCAGGTCAACGACTTCAGAGGTAAGATGGCTTCTTTTTTTTTTGAAATCGTCACTCTTCTGTCCCACAGAGCATCTGCGGGAGTTGTGGTTTCATCCGACTTGCTGGCCATTATCGCTTTGAGCCCCTCCCCTTCATCCTCGCTGCAAGGACTCGGTTTGCTAACTCAGAAAGTGCAACCTGTTCAGGGGAACTTTCTCTCCAGCGCTCGCTACCTCACGCCTCCACGCTCGCTTCCATATCACGTCCGTTTCCTTGCACAATGGGTAAGCTCAGCGCTTGCGGCTTTTCTTCTTATACATCTACGCCTGTCTGTCTATTCTTTGATCCCTGAAATCCGCGTCCGCATCTGTTACTCCCGGAACACCCCTCCCGTTACGCCCCAAGACTATGCCCCCATCTAGACGCCAGAGTGCGCATGGGCGCTCGCAGATAGATGCTCTGAAAGTCGAGCATTCTATGGCAGGGAAATCATTGCGGCCAAAGAGTTTCTCGTACTCGACGCGCACTAGACGATCATCCGAATGTGGCACCCAAGCTTCTACAACTGCTGACTCCATCTTCTCCCGTTTAGCTTCACCACCTCCCAGCAATGGCACTCCTGCCACCGCCTCCCCGCCCAGCAGCAAGCCTGGTTCTCCTTTCGTCGAGCGCAGCAACCCAATGGGCTCCGGAAATGCCCAAACGGTCACCTCCAAGGACCCCAAGGCTGCCGCTCAGGCTGCCACCGACATGAAGAACGTGGTTCGCCGGAAGTTGACCGGCTACGTTGGTTTCGCCAATCTGCCCAACCAATGGCACCGCAAGAGTGTCCGCAAGGGATTCAACTTCAATGTGATGGTTGTTGGTGAGTCGTACATAAAGCGAACGGACCGGCGAAACCAATCCGCTGACGAGCGTGCTAGGTGAATCTGGACTCGGAAAGTCCACTCTTGTGAACACCCTGTTCAACACCTCTCTCTACCCCCCTAAGGAGCGCGCCGGCCCCAGCCACGACATCATCCCCAAGACTGTCTCTATCCAATCCATCAGTGCCGACATTGAGGAGAATGGCGTTCGCCTTCGCTTGACCGTTGTCGACACTCCTGGATTCGGCGACTTTGTGAACAACGACGATTCCTGGCGCCCAATTGTGGAAAACATTGAGCAGAGGTACGACGCATACCTCGAGGCTGAGAACAAGGTCAACCGCACCAACATCATTGACAACCGTATCCACGCCTGCGTCTACTTTATCCAGCCCACCGGTCACTCTTTGAAGCCTCTTGATATCGAGGTTATGCGCCGTCTGCACACCAAGGTCAACCTGATCCCCGTGATCGCCAAGGCCGATACTCTGACAGATGATGAGATCTCTATGTTCAAGAAGAGGGTATGATTTGACGCATTTGATTACTTGGTGACCATTGTTCTTCTTGCTAACGAACCTTCGCAGATCCTCGCAGATATCCAGCACCACTCGATCCAGATCTTTGAAGGTCCTCGTTACGAGCTCGACGATGAAGAGACAATTGCTGAAAATCAGGAAATCATGTCCAAGGTTCCTTTCGCCGTTGTCGGTGCCAACTCCGAGGTTAGCACAGCAGATGGCCGCAAGGTCCGTGGCCGTGCGTACCCATGGGGTCTCATCGAGGTAGACAACGAGGAGCACTGCGACTTCGTGAAGCTGCGCCAGATGCTCATTCGCACTCACATGGAGGAGCTCAAGGAGCACACCAACAACCATCTGTACGAGAACTACCGCTCCGACAAGCTTACTCAGATGGGCGTTGCCCAGGACCCGAGCGTGTTCAAGGAGGTCAACCCTGCTGTGAAGCAAGAAGAGGAACGTGCCCTGCACGAACAGAAGCTCGCCAAGATGGAGGCAGAAATGAAGATGGTCTTCCAACAGAAGGTAGCAGAGAAGGAAAGCAAGCTGAAACAAAGCGAAGACGAATTATATGCTCGACATCGCGAGATGAAGGAACAACTGGATCGCCAACGCGCAGAGCTAGAAGAAAAGAAATCCCGTCTCGAGAGTGGACGGCCGCTCGAAGAAAAAGGAAAGAGGAAGGGGTTCTCTCTTCGTTAAGCAGACTCCCCTTCGAAAGCCCCGACAATCCTAGCCATAACGCCATGCAAGGACCACCAATAGTGTGTATGGTCGTCGGAGGCTCTCTGGTGGTTCTACGTTTGATACTCCACGACTTGTCGATTGATCGAGCGCCCTCTACAACATGCCGCCTTCTCTTTTTCGTGTTTTTGATTGTTCTCCACGCTCCCTCTAACCCGTCTCTCTTATCCGTTTCCAGTAATGACTGAATCTAATTGAGTGGACCGAGGAGGGAATGGATTGCCTCGTTGTATTTGCCTTGGGCTTATACAGGAGATGCACCAGACCAGAAGGGCCACCTTCAGATCCTTAGTGAGTCTGGTCCTGAATTTGCAAGATGATGCACGAGGTGGCGGCCTGCAATCCGCCTCAGGTTGGGAATTTACTGCCTCATGTCCACAGTTCACTTCTTGTTATGTACTTTTGCCTACGCTATACCTTGTTCCCGCCTGCTTCCTATTACCCTTCTGTGGTCCAGTGCTGCTACCGTTTTATATTTGTTGCACCTTTGTCTCTTCTACACATTTTAGTGAGATCACCCACCCTCGACCATCTTTCTGGACGCTTTCCTTTCCTCTTACTCTGAGCTTGTTGTGTTAGTCTCAATTTGAAGTTATAAAAGCATAAATCGTGGTAGATTTGGGGTTGTGAGCGCGTATACTCTGTAGAGACGAAATGAATAATTTGCTCTAATTTGTCAAGATAAATAACGGCTCGATAAGATACAGAAATATTAATATAAAGGCGTTGTAAGGAGTTGCATCATCGAGCGACGTCACCGGGTCCGCTGATATACAAGAGGCTCCCGAGCGTCTGGCCAGGTTCCTAGAAAGAGCTTCCCCGTCCGCCGGCGCACACCAAAAGCAACTTTGTCCGAAACTAACTGCCGCCTCCCCGCCCAGCCTCCCTCACAGATTCGATCTCTCTCACTCACAAAGACCGATTCCTCCTCTGCTCAATTCTTATCCCGTGTCGTATCCTTTGTTTGATTTACTACCCGCCGCCCTATAGTCTGTCGTCATTGACGGGCAGCTTCCCCTCCCTTGTTCTCCAATCTCCGCGCTGAGGCCACCCGACCACCTTCCACGTCAACTACTTCATATCGTCGGCAAACTCATCCTCGATGGCTCCTCCTCCGTCAAATCTGCCCCTAGCTGAAAGGCTGAGGGTTCTCGCGCAGACGCTGCAGTGAGTTATCTTGTTCCCACGTGTGCGCTTCGTTACTGACCGAGTACCGTGCTGCAGGTTTGCTTGGTTCATCGGGTAGGTTCTTGATCTTTTACTATTTCAATGCCGTCGATATCTCCCGGATTCACCTGTATAATCAAGCTGCCGAACCTTCTTCTTTCTATTGGCGTAACCCCTCGTTTGACGGCGTGCTCTTCGGCTGCTGTTCTGAAAGACCAACGCTGACCGACATTAGGCATGTGACGCTGCTAGCCTCTGTCCTTCGCTACCTATTTTCCTATGTCTCATTCAACTACTACTCCGGCTCGGCGCAGGTGTCTTATCGCCTAGCATTTGTCTCTGCCGCCGTTACCTATGGAATTGTTGTGTACAAGGGTCATATCGCACGTGGTCGCCTTCAGGGGAGCCTTCCCAGCGTCTTGCTGAAGCTTGCAGGGGACGAGAATGTTCAGTACCTCGGTGAGTAGTTGCTAGGCAAGCCAATTCGGTTTTTACTTCAAGACTGACAATTTCGGTTCCAGGAATGGCTCTGGTGTGGCTCTACTCTCGCCAGATTCCCCTTGCTCTGTTGCCTTTCAGCGTCTACTCCGTCTTCCACGTCGCTACTTACACTCGTGCCCACCTGCTCCCCACTCTTCAGCCTCCGAGTGCACCGGCTGGATCTCCCGGCCGTGCCAATGTGAAGCAGTCCCCATTGGCCGAGACCATTGGACGATTCGTCAAGCAGTACTATGATACCAGCATGGATCTTGTCGCTGGCTTGGAGATTGCGCTCCTATTCCGCTTGCTAGTGGCTATCGTCACTTTCTCCAAGGGCAGCTTCGTCCTTCTGTTCATTTACCTGGCCTTCTTCCGTGCCCGCTTCAGCCAGAGCTCTTTCGTCCAGCAGGCCGTCCGCCACTTCACCGCAAGGGTCGACGCTTCCGTGTCTCACCAAGGCACTCCCCCTGCGGTGCGTCAGGGCTGGGAGGGTTTCAAGGATGCCGTGAACCAGGCTTACCAAGCCACGGACGTTACCCGCTTTACTACCGGAGCAGGCAAGAAGCCCCAATAGAGGGTTACTGCATATATAAGACGATATCGGGGTATGTAATGGGCGACGTTAGGCGAACAGCCGGATGACTTGTCTGTTTATGAAACCCGCGTTATCCGCTATCGTCGAGTCTGTCCGGTCATGTTGGCAGATACCGTAACTGACGAACTTACGAACTGACGGACCATCGTTGACCAAACATTTTGAGGCGAGGATCCAGTAACGAGGCAGATGGCCTACGAGCAGTGTGGATTAGGAAGAGGTATGAGAGGCCGTGCGGCATTTGGGGATGAGATTCGATGGACCTGGGTGTTTCTATTCATGTTGGAGCCGTCATAGGCTGTGAGGGGTAAGGTCCTCTGCGAAGTTTTCGTTTACTCGTTTTTGTTCTGTTTTCCTTCTATTATCTATCTTGAATGCGTAAAATGTGAGATTTTCTAAATGCTTCAAGCCTTACATTGACACAACCAGTCAACGATTAACCAACGTGGGCTATCACCGTAAGTAGAAATCATGAGCAATGTGCTCGAAGATGCTTTTTTACTGCCCCATATAATTACTTGGTAAATGGTTATTAACAACTGAATTTCGACTTGCGATACTGGATCGATGCTTATGCCTGAGGCTCTAATCGGGCGGCGGAGAAAACGGAAGACCGACCAAAATTTTGGAGCCTCTCTCAGCGGACCAGCGGCAGCAATACCGTTCTCACAACAAGATACTGGCAATGTTAATATACCTGCCCCTCCACTTCTGTTGACTTTTTTCTATGCTTTTCTAGCCTGCAAATCCTCTTCGCCGAGCGCCGTTTTCCTCCGCTCCCGTCGCCTAGGGACGCTCTTTAATTGACCCGGCACCCGCCGCATCGCAACTTACCGTGGTCTCGCCCGCACCACGATTCGTTGGGTTGCGGTGTCCTTGCAATGAGCTTGACTTCGCGCGTGTTCAGCCTGTTCACATCGACAGAGAAGCCCGCCGATACCACTTCGCCGGCTGTTCCTTCGGCCAATACCCACGATGCCGCTCATACTGCGCCGATAAGGACGTCAACAGACACGGATGTACACAATGGACTGGCAGACCTCGAAGAGGAGGAGCCTCGTCCTCCATATCTACATGTACGATGCTTCTGTCATCCCATGGTCCGCTCGTCTGTCCATCAAGGCGTTGCGCACTTGGCTGTCAATCAAGCTAACTGGGAACTCTTCAGGCAATGCTCGCTGGTGGTATAGGTGGTACCTGCGGTGATATGCTTATGCATTCATTAGATACTGTCAAGACGCGTCAACAAGGCGACCCTCACATTCCTCCCAGATACACTTCGATGACGTCGTCATATGCGACAATATACCGACAAGAAGGGCTTCTGCGTGGACTGTATGGTGGGGTTACGCCTGCCCTGATGGGCTCGTTCCCGGGTACACTGATCTTCTTCGGTGTTTATGAGTTCACGAAGCGGAAGATGCTGGACGCGGGGATCAATGCCAATGTGGCGTATCTATCTGGTGGTAAGGAGCCGTCGCGAGTTGGTTTCTTACATGCTTGATGCTGATGGAACGTCGCACAGGATTTTTCGCAGATCTGGCCGCCTCGGTCGTTTATGTTCCTTCAGAGGTTGCGAAGACTCGACTACAACTTCAGGGCCGCTATAACAACCCGTACTTCAAATCCGGATACAACTACCGCTCCACTGCAGATGCCTTCCGCACCATCGTTCGTCAGGAAGGATTCTCTGCGCTCTTCTACGGCTACAAGGCTACGATTTACCGCGATCTTCCGTTCTCCGCCTTGCAATTCGCGTTCTATGAGCAAGAACAGAGGCTGGCCAAGGAGTGGGTTGGTTCTCGAGATATCGGGCTGGGTTTGGAAATCTTTACAGCCGTTACGGCCGGTGGAATGGCAGGTGTCCTCACGTGTCCTATGGACGTGGTAAAGACGCGGGTTCAGACGCAGCAGAACCCGCCGGAGCCTACTGCGGCTCCAGCCCACAAACCCTCGGTAGAGCAGAAACCAAAGTCCGGGATGCAGACGCAATCACGATCGATTTCTACGAGGGCGCCCGCGGCGTCTCCCGCACCACCCGGAGCATTGCGGCTGGACAACTCGTCATTCTTTACCGGCTTGAAGATGATTTACAAGACGGAAGGAATTGCAGGTTGGTTCCGAGGTGTCGGCCCGCGCGGAGTGTGGACCAGTATTCAGAGCGGGACGATGCTGGTCATGTACCAATACCTGCTCAAGCAGTTCGAAGCGTTCAGCGAAGCAGACGATACGAACCCCCTCTGAGCTACGCGTTCTGACTATCCGAGGCCATTGCGGACGACGGACGATACCTTTCGATTGTAGATATAGAGCATTGGATGGATGGCTGCTTGGGAGGGCGTTTGCGGGATTTTTTCGTTTCTCTTTTCTTTCGCCTTTGTGAACGGCATGATGGCTCTCCCACTCTCCTACCCTGTACACGTGTATATACACTTACTGGGAGGCCATCTGATATAGACCACTAGAGACTAGGTAATTGTACAATAGAATAGACTGACTGACGTGATGGATGGATTGGATGCTATGGAGATGGACCCAAACAGGAAAAAGCGGGGGCGCAATGTAAACAAAGGCGGGACGGCGGTGATTGGCCACGCGCAACTACGTCGACTGATGTCGGTGACTTGACCTCTCGCCCTCCCTTCGTCTGTCCTGCTTGTTATTATTTGTTGTTATTATTATGCCTCTGCGCCCCCAAGCCTAGACTACATTACTCCTACATTTGCTCCCATCACTTCGCGGTCTAATCTCACCTTCCCCTCCCTGACTCTTTCTGTCCGTTATCGCATGGTCCGCGCGCATCGTCATGTCTACCGGACTGCCCTACCTGCACAAGCTGCGCAAGGCGCAGCTGTCCCAACTTGCTGATATTACCGACCTCCAGGAGTAAGTCGCGACGTTCCCCGCCAAGTATCGCATCTCGCGCTTTTGCGATGTCGCGTTACCGTCACTGCTGCTGATACAAGTAATTCTGTAGCTATGAGGACGACACCAAGCCTGAACTTGCTGCCCGACTGGATGAGCACCTTCAAAACAACAGCTCTATATTCGGCGACGACGAGCGACTAGCAGACTATTACCGTCGCTCATCGCAATCGCAACCGTCTAGCGGGTCGCCTTCAAAGAGGACCAGCAGGACGAGCAGAGCCAGCCGAGCCAGCAGTCTAGCCGACAATACGCCCATCAAAGCGGAAACCATCAGCTCAGGCGCTGCTTCGGTCACCCGTTCGGCTCGCCGACGGCCACCAAGGACCAAGGTGGAAGCTAGTCCTTCGTATGTCGCATTTGACCCCATTGTCTCGGGTCGCGCAGTTGGCTAATGACGTTATCGCAGGGAGGTGTCCGTCACTTCGCCTACACAGGCCCTTGATGATGTAGCTCCTCGAGACTTGGCGGCTGAGACTCCGGCGCGCCCGTATGCGGACATCATCTCCGAAGACCGCGCTGAGCACACCCCTCGAGGCCCGCTCGTAGAGGTTGTCGCTCAGAGTGCACGATTGCCACCATCGCCTGCCGTCGTCACTGAAGCAATTGAGCGTCAAACGACCGAATTGCGTAAGAGCATCGGCGATGCCTGGGAGAAGTCCGGCGTACAGGAAGGCTCAGATGCGCTGCGCTCAGCTCTCAGCAGCGTGAAGGCCGTCGAGGTCATCGTCACTCTTCTCGAAGCATTCAGCGTCATCAACCAAGTCGTACCGTGGGGCTACGCCACTACAATCCCTGCCATCGATGCCATTTACACCCCCGCAATCCCGATCAAGGTTCCCGATGTCTTCATCCTCGTCGACGGCTTATTCTGGGCACCCGTCTCGCTCTGGCTTCTGACTAGCGTTCTGCTGCCTCTGACGGCTGCCTATTTCTTCAACATTAGCCTCCAGGTAGCTCAATCCAACAGCACCGGAATCCAGACCCGCCGCAGCAGCAGTCTTAGCCGCTCCACCCAGACAACCTTTGACCCGCTCAGCTTCAACATCGCCAAGGCGATCATCTCGTATCTTGTTTACGCGCACGGATTCAATTTCTGGAACCTATATTCTGGTTACGCGCTTCAGACAGTCAACGCGTCCATTCCCTTCCAGTATGCGGGTATCTTGACCGGCTCCGGTATTGGCGTTGTGGGAACGCTGTATGAAGCTATTCTGAGGAAGTAATCCACTTCCCCAGGGTCAACTTCCTCTCTCAAAAGGGAGACGGGTGTACATCAGTGTGGTTGAGAGATGTTGTACCGTGCGTTGGGTCGAGTCTCGGTTTTGGCTTTTTGACTCGGTTTCTGTGAAATTCACCTTGTCGCGGGAGTACGTCGGGTTGGTTTTGATTCAGGGGGTATCGATATGCGTTACACGATGATATGTTATGGAAGATTTGTTATCAGCTAGCTTGAGTTCTTGGTAGATCAGTCTCACTTGGGCTCGGTTTTTTTTCTCTTGGGCGATTGGACGCATGTTTTGAATTCATCTACTTTGTTTCACCTATGACTATGCTATTATTCTTCAATGTCATTGCTCCTTTTCGGTTGTGTGTTCGGGTATATGGGATCCGTTGTTTTGGCTTGCTGTTTATGTTTTGTATGTACCTACGGTTATGTTGGTATATATTTTCTGTTAATGGGGGGTTAGATGCCCTTTTCTCTTCACATTGTAGCCTCTTTGATAGAGTCCTATTCATTCTAATCCAGCTTTTGGAATAGGTAATCTTACAAGTTCATCATTCTTACATGTAAAACGTAGCTCATAACCATGCCGTCACGTCTTGATCTATTCCTATCGCAAGCTTTGCTAAATGACCAAATCTATCTAAGTAGAGCAATCATATCTATATCCTCGATTCTATATCGGAAAAAGCGTCTTTCAGATCTAGAGCAGCCCAAAACAAATCCAAATAATCAACGTCTATTTTTTTCGCCCCGTCACCCCATAATCGTCACCTAGCAGACCGCTTCAGTCGCTTCGCCAACTCAACCGTAAACAGTACCGGCGCATTCGTCTGCACACTCACAGTCTCAGCCCGAATATGGTTGCTCGTGCTGATTTGGCCTCCGATCTCAGTCTTCCAGTCCTCGACGTCCCACTCGAAGCCGGAGGTCGTGATGCGCGCGGGGCCAGAAAGCGGGATTATGCCGACGTTCTCTTCCAGCAAATATATTCCGTGTTCGTTTCCATCTCGTGACGGCGGATGTCGGCCGCCAGAGTTAAAACTGGGACCGGGATCTGGTCGATTCGTCCTCGGAACATGGATTGTGTTCATCCCCGGCTGGAGAATAAACGTTATACTCTCTTCCGAAATGAGGTAGAGTTTCCCGTCCCCCTTCGCTTCCGCCTGTTTCTGATTCATCGTGTATAAGTGATGGATCTGCGAGAAAGCCTGGTCTACGCGGCCGCCGAGACCGCCTAAGATCAGGATTGAGAGGTGGCCATGACCATGGTCAGTTGCGGAGAGAATATCCCTCTCATGTTGCTGGATATACCGTAGGCTCTTGGTGAAATCGGTTGAGTACTGGTCGTCGTCTTGCACGATATTCACGCCTAGCTTTGTGTAGTGGCTGCGGAGCTCTGGGCGGATGGAGTCCAGGTCGCCGATTATTGTTGTTGGGAGCTGGATGCTGTTAGTTGAGCTGGACTGGGTAGGGTAGGGTAGTTTTGAGATGGGTGGATGACATACATCGGTATTCTCTGCGCCCCGGGACTTCGCCCACTCGAAGAACCGGTTTGCGCCGCCGTCTGCGCAGACGGTTGCCAGTGCTGTTGAATCGTTAGCTTCGTCTTGCTCATATCGCGGGTCTCGTAGTATTGATAAGAGACTATTAATCTGACATGGTCCACTCTTGCATGTTGAGGGGAAGTTGAACGGACAGGAGGCGATTCAGGACGTACCATGTTTCCGCAAGGCCCTCAGCGCGGTCTCATTGATAGGCTGGTTGAGGACCAAAAGGGCGAATGGCTGCCATGACTCTACTTCGTCTTCGCGGAAGAACTGCGTTGGGTCCCACTCCATGATAATGGACTTGTTCTGGTAGACTGTCAGATTTTAAGCCTTTCTTGTCGTTTATAGTTTCCGTACCTAGCTTGCTATTTCTTGGTCTTGGTCTAAATGAGGTAAAGCAAAGCTTATATTAGATACGATAGTAGATGCAGATATATATGGATCAGGGCACCGAATAGATAGATCTTAGAGGGTTTTGAAAAAGACCGATTCCTGTTTTGGCAGGTGGGCGTGCTTCGGTTGCTGAGTCAGCGGGAGACCACCGTCCATCGGACTGAGTTGCATCACGTCATCTTCCAGTACTTATGAAGATGGTTGGCGGTTATCTAGACATAGTATAGTGATGACGGACAGGTAAGCTTTGTGCAAAAAGCTATCTCAATGACTCAATACGGTCAGGGCTGCGTACTACTACTCTCTAGTATGTAACGCGATATATATCTGAATGTTCCTTGGAAGCATATAAGTGGAAGGTTGGTTTAGATCTCGTTTATCCACGTGGAGGTAGCACTATATAACTTTAAACCAAAGGATGATACGCTCAATATGGGGGCCTTATTATCAATCAGCCATAGCACCCGTGTACCCTAGCAGTACACGTTTAGGAGGTTGAGATAGAAACGTACACACCTGGGCCTTGGCGGGGAGCTTTGATCGAGAATCTCGAATCAAAGTAAGTTTGATTTTAGCATAACTCATAGGCAAGCATTCTAATGAATTGACAAATATCCAAATATCCATCCGAGCACCCAAACTCCGTCACAGAAAAAGGCACCATTAATAGTCGAGTACGAACAAGACAACATAATAACAACAATGAAAAGAAACGTCCGTGCAATCATCATAGCCGTAAGAGTGTCGTCTGGTCTATCATTCAAGACCAGACTCCGTAAAAAGGCAGGTAACTTGATTGGTGCCTCGAGCTGGAGGTGGTAGACTATCGGAAAGCGAGGTAGTGAGCCATGGCTTCGTAATGGATAGCTGCCTCCTTGTTCTTCGAGTCGGCGTTGGTGCTGGCCTTGCTCTTGCTCTTGGAGAGCCACTTGCGCTTAGCCTCTTCCTTCTCTTTCACGATGGTGGAAGTGGAGGCACTGGAGTAGGTCGACGAGGCATCGTTGAAGGTATTGGTGGAGGACTTGGTGGAGGTGGTGGTGGAAGGCATTGTTGATCGTTTGGTATGAAATACTCGAGAGAGGAAGAGCGATATTTTGGACGGGTTTCGTTTGTTAAGCGCTTTGAAAAATTTGAGGTACTCAAAATGCTTGATCGACTTGTTTGCAAATCGTGTTTGTGAAGATGATGTAGTATGTAGTTCTCTAGATCGAGGATCTCGGTCTGGTGTGAAGATCTTGTTTTTGACTGTATTGATGCTGAGGATGATGATGAGAATTCAGACGAGCATGCCACCCCCTTATATATCCATTTCTCGAGTCTAATGGAGTCATCTCACAACGAGTCGGTCCCATCATTTACTCCGAATCCTCATCGGAGTTGCCAAGCATACAAAGAGTTGACTGACTAGATTCAAAGCTTAGCAATGGGGATTTTGGCAGGATGATCCCCACACACCTTGATCACTGGCCAGTCCCATCTCCTCGTATCAGCCTTCTGCCGGGCTAGGCCATGCAGCAGATGGGGCTCGTTCGCACGGTGACGATGGCAGAAGAGCGGAGGGCGCACGGTTGTGTGACTCAGGAGTCAGGCCATCACGGCCTCCGTTTTGGGCTTTGTTTCCATCATGAAGCATGATAGGTCTGCCTGAGCTAAGAGCCTAAGACGCGCCCTATGAGAGAGTCTTGGCCCAGGGTCTGTACCTAACTGGGTCGTCAAATATGTCTACTTTGGGAGAAGTCGTCAAAGCCTCCCAGTTTGGACCTGCTGGCCTGGATGAATGACTCAGGTCTCAGCCACAGCCACAACCACGTATTGGGGACCTCGTGCAAGATGCAAACAATCAACTGGTGATGCGAACTTCGAGCTCGTATTCGATAATTCGAGTCAGTCCGGAGTATAGATTGGAAGTTGACGGTTTGCAGCATTTGTCAGATTTACTGTTGAGTCCACCCCACCTACTCCGAAGCTGAGCTCCGATTCCATCGAACTCCGACAGCACGGGTTGACTCCGACCTACCTACAGTTTCGACTACACGGAGTAGTCTAACTAGGCACCAGATGTCGCTATCCGAGCGGCCTGGATCAGGATTCAACGGATAGACTCCGCGGTCTTGTTCTCTTCTTTTTGTCACCCGATATTTGCACCAATTCAAAAACTCAAAAGGACCTCAGCCGTCACGGGGTCCAAACTAGGGCTAGCGCGACTACTCCGAGGCGGAGCATAACCAATAACCACATAGTTACCAGAACAGAGAATGGGTATATCGGAATTTTAGAACCAGAGGTTCTATACAGCTTACCGGACTAGGTATGCATTGTCAGATGGCACAGCCCGGCGTTAAGTGAGGGATTCTGAGACCGTGGAGGAGTAACCAATCTACGTCGGAGTGGGGCATCAGCATGTGGCTTAGTCATTTACTTTATGCCGGTTATGCTTCTTATCGGCCGGGCGCGTTCGCGTCGCGTCGCTCAATTGCAGGTCAAATAATGCCCTCAAACTACCCCATTGTACAGCAAACGACTTAGATGACGGAATCATCTCCATTGGATCTCTCGTCCTTTGATCCAGCCATCCTCCTCCACTCCGAAGACCCTGACCTTCCCTCCCAATCCTTCTCCGACGAGTTCGAAGCCTTGAACGCGGTGCGAGTGGAAAAGACCCGCAACAAAGTCGTGATCCAGCACCGAGCTTGGAATCTGTCTGATGTCTTCCGCAGTGACGAAGACGTGAGATTGGGTGCGCTATCTCTACCCATAGAGATCTTGATTCTATAGCAAGAATCGTTTCTTATACCGTGCCAGACACCCCCACGAGACCAACGAAGAACTCTCGATTGCGCAGCGTCCTCTCTCCACTACGTGAACAAGCGTTTCCGTCCTCCCCGCCAAATTCCAAGATGCCCTTTATCTCTTCGCCCGTGGCATTTCCTTCAAGCGCGCCTTCTCCGGACTCGCAGAAACGGAAGAATGGCGAGCAGTCGCAGGCAGCGGAGCCGAAGCGGCAGAAGATCATGGGCGGGTTTCTGGATGATGACGCCGACGATAACGACGGACTAGAGGCTTTCAAAGAGGCGCAAATACAAAGCCAGTTTGAGATTCAGGAACAACTTGTCGAGCTTCCTAAAGCTCCTCAAACTCAGCCTACAGTTGAGCAGAAGCGGCAGAAGATTATGGGCGGGTTCTTGGATGATGACGACGATGATGACAACGATGGATTGGAAGCTTTTAATGATGCGCAACTCAAAAGTCAAATTGACATTCAGGAAGACCTTGTTGAGCTTTCTCAGATTTCGCAACCTCAGCCTGCCGTGGATTCGGCACCGGTTAACTCTATACTCGAGCGCAGGACAGTGGTTACAAGATCTGCACCGCCGATGAGATCATCTATCTCGGTCCAGATAAAGACTTGCTCTGGAAAGACGTTGAACGTCCGTCTGAAGGAATCCAGCGCTCGGGTTTCCTATGAAAGACTCGTGGCTAGTCGGTCCACAACAGCTCCTGGAAGGGCTCAGAAAAGTTACTATGGAATTGATATTCATACCTTACTTAGCGAGTCCGCGAAAGAAACCAAGGCCGCCGAAGTGTCTAAGACTGCCCCAGCGCCGGTCGTACGACCATCAATCGAAGCCCCCATCGGCGATAAGCGAAGCAAAAAGCTCTCAACCGCCATGTGGACAGAAAAGTACCGGGCTCGCAAATACACCGAACTCATTGGAGACGAGCGCACCAATCGATCTATCTTGCGTTGGCTTAGAGCGTGGGATCCCATCGTCTACCCTGGCCTAGCTCGAAGCAAGCAGAAGAAGGCGAAGTATGACAATGACGAAGAGGAACGGCCTCATCGCAAGGTGCTGTTACTTTGTGGTCCACCTGGACTGGGGAAGACAACTCTCGCTCATGTCTGCGCGAGACAGGCTGGTTACGAGGTACTAGAAATCAACGCAAGTGACGAGCGCAGCAGAGATGTTGTCAAAGGCAGAATCAGAGACGCACTTGGCACAGAGAACGTGAAAGGAATGAACGTGGAAGTGGGCGAGCAGAAAGTGCGCAAGGTCGGCCGGCCTGTCTGCGTTGTAGTCGATGAAGTAGACGGAGTGGTCAGCGGATCCGGTGGTTCTGGTGAAGGCGGCTTCATGAAGGCGTTGACCGACCTTGTTCTCCTGGACCAAAAGAACTCCGCACGCACGGCTGAGCAAGCCTCTGGCGGACGGAAAAGGAAGGGTGACAACTTCCGGTTCCTTCGTCCGCTTATTCTGGTCTGCAACGACGTGTATCATGCCAGCTTACGGCCGCTTAGGCAATCTTCTATTGCAGAAATCATTCATGTCCGTCAAGCGCCGCTGGAGAATGTGGTTTCTCGCATGAAGTCTATCTTCACTCTTGAAGGCATCCCCACTGACAATGATGGAGTACGACGGCTCTGCGAAGCCTCCTGGGGGCTTGCGAAGAGGAAGCAACGCGGCGTGAGAAATAGCGGTGCAGCAGAAGGTGACATCCGGAGTGTCCTAGTCGCAGCAGAATGGGTAGCCCACAAGCTTCGAAACGAGAGCCCTGTATCCTTGCGGTTGACCCGAAACTGGCTTGAACAGCGAGTTCTCGCAGACCCTGGAGGTGGCTCGTTCTTTAAAGGCATGAACCGCGGCGGAGTGCGTGACATTGTGGATCGAGTGTTTACGGACGGAGCCGGATTCCCAGACGTACCTCTCGGCACTGAATCGTTCCAAGACCCATATGACCGCTCAGCAACGGTTCCGGGAGACGTCGCAGGTATCAAAAAGCGCCACGCAGTCAACAGGCTCCGGGAGATGGTCGACGCCAGCGGTGACCATGATCGCTGCACCTCCGAATGTTTCTCTGCATACCCCCTTCAACCATACCAAGACGATAGCTACCTCTCCAAGCCGAACGCTGCCTACGACTGGCTACATTTTCACGACACCATCTCCTCACGGGTCTACTCCGCCCACGACTGGGAACTGGGTGCCTACCTCAGCCAAGCGACATCAGCCTTCCACCTTCTCTTCTCGACTCCCCAGGGTAGATCGCAGCCTCAGTACAAAGATACAGACGAGGAAGAGGAGGAAGCACATCCCTTCTCCGGTCCACGAGCAGACTATGCAGCCTTCGAAGCAACCAAACAAAACCAGGCTATTCTATCTACGTTTCAATCTTCTTTTTCTGCTCCCCTTCTCCGTCTCTTTCGCTCGTCCAATAATCTCGCCACCGAACTCATACCAAATGTAATCCGCATGCTCTCGCCAGACGTTAAACCCGTCGTCGTCCGCGGCAGCGAGCAGAAGAGCGTTGCAAGCGTGCGCAAGGAAAGCGAGCGCGCTCTCGTCCAGTCCGCCGTCCGCGTGATGACTGGTTTAGGCGTGACGTTTGAGAAAGTCCGCATTGAGAATGAGGGCGGCGCACATGGCGGCTGGGCATACCGCATGGAACCGTAAGTCGCCATCCCACATTCTACCCCATCATATCTAACATGACTAGGCCCCTTGACTCCCTCGTCTCCTTCTCCAAAGCTCCGGGCCTTTCCTCAACGACAGCTCCCGTCCGCTACGCCGTCCGCCAAGTCCTCGACCAGGAATACCGCAAGGAATCCATCCGCAAGAACTCCGAGAACCTTGCTTCAACCGGTTCCAAGAAGTCTACTACAAAATCTACCCCAGATAATCCCGCGGACGTCGCCAAGCTAAAGTCCACCGCCGTAAAACGGGACTTCTTTGGCCGCATCATTGAGGAACAGGGGCCATTGCCGCAGGAAGCTAAAGAACAGGCGCTGGCGAGGAAGGCGAGCTCTGCGCAGCAGGAGGCTTCGAATGCGGGGAGGAAGGTCTGGGTTACGTATCATGATGGGTTTTCGAATGCGGTGCGCAAGCCAATCTCTATGGCTGAGTTGTTGAATGGATTGTAAATAATCATTCCTACGCTGTTTTGGTATGGTTATGGTGCTATGGTTGTAGATTGTTTCATGCATTCCGAATTTTTTGTGAGAGCGGGCGTTGTACAGGGCCTTCGAGATACATATCATACTATATCTGATTTCATATCACATCATTTCACTTAAAAGAAGCTGTGTCCAAGTATTTCCGAGTAGGTGGACGCTTGGTGCCTGAGGTCTTCCATATATTTCATACACCCGCCCTTGAAGCCAATTTCCGGTGCTCTGATGAAACCAGGCAATATACAGGATTTGTTGACTGTTCGTATATCTCTCAGAGACATCCTCAGAGACATCCGAGTCTTCATCTTGTTGCGGTTCACTCCTTCCAAGTCGTACATTTCCTTTCAATAGATATGCCCATTGTCGCCGAATCTCATTGTCTGTGTTGTAGTGATTTAGGGAGTCCGCATTTAAACACACACGTATCCCTAACAAGAAGATTCGTTAGCCATTCTATATCCTGTTGGAGAGTAAAAAGTGCCATCAGAGGCTCTGCGATGAATACCACTGACATCTTCATTCATCGCTCTCGAATAAGTACCGACTTCGTCTTCTTGATCGCAACAGCCGAACCACTCGTACAGATGCGCTTCTTGCTCTTTTCCACAGCCCTGGTATTGTCGCTCTTTCCCCAGCGAGTTCTTTTGGGCGTGCTCTCAGCTGTTGTTGCTTCGCCTTCACCTTCGGTGTTCGAAGTGTCACTAATATCGCTATTGCCATTTCCACTGCCGTTCGTAGAGTCGGTCGAGCCGGGCTCTTGGAGCTGTACTTGATGATCTGCGAGGTCGACAACGTCGATGCTATGGGCAAGTACTGTTCTGGAGACGACGACTAGGCTCATCATGTCCGGGTCTCGGCGGTCGATCTCTAGCACAATTCTTTCGTGGTAGCCTGGTTTGACCAGGGTATCGATGGGAAGTGTTTGGTCGGAGTCGGAGCTTGAGGACATGGTTCAGGCTTCTTCATGAGATTTTGTAGGAGGATGTTTCTTCGAAAGCTTGAAGAGATGTGTGAGATGACGAGGAAGATGAACAGAGTGAAGTTGAGGATGTTGATAGAGGTCTTGATGTTGTAGGGCAAGCTGAGAAGCAGCCGCAAGCTGGGCGAGTGATGACATTGATGGAGCGAAATTCACTTGTATAATTTGTGTTAGTCCATTTGGAAGGAGACCTGGGGCCTTTGTTGATGGTGAAATGCAGCAACTATAAAGCCGAAACCTAATTGGGCAGTCCACTTCAGGCAGGAACCCGCCTAAGCCTCAGGCCCCAACGCTGCCTTGGCATGGAAGCACTCCGCTCACTCCCGTTCTCGTCCTCGGAGACATTATTTATAAGACTCCCCTCAATTGACCTCCCCCGGCCTTCGCCGCCCTCTACCTTCCTTTGAACTGGATCCCTCATCCAGTATCTAGTTGTATCTCTCCTTTCCCGTCGATTCACAATGTTCCGACCCGCATCGCGAGCGCTCCTCCGCGCCCCAGCACCAGCTGTCAATGTCGCGCGCGGTCCATCTCGCCGATTCATAAGCTCCAGTCCCTCAGGGCCCTCAAAGCCACGGAGCTGGAAGAACACCTTTGTCCGGGTCGGATTGGCGGCCGGTGCTGTCTACTACTACAACACGAGCAGCGTCTTCGCGGAGACCCCATCGCGTGCGTATCCAAAATCTCTTCTCCTTCCCAATGACGCAAGCTAATTGAACACCGGCCTCAAGTCTCCTTCCGCAACAAGTCCCAGTCTCAATCCGACAATGAGAAGCCCCTACCAACGCTCGACTCCGTCAAGCCTAAGAGCCGCGAGGAGAAGAAGGCTCCCGCTTCAACAGACGCCAACGCACAGCCCGAATCCGAATCGCCTTTGAAATCCGCTGAAGAGCTCGAGGCCGAGGCAGACCAGCAGGCTGCGTTTAACCCGGAGACTGGCGAGATCAACTGGGACTGCCCATGCCTCGGTGGCATGGCGTACGGGCCTTGCGGAGAAGAGTTCCGGGCTGCGTTTAGCTGTTTTGTTTACTCGGAGGAGGAGCCTAAGGGGATTGACTGCATTGATAAGTTCAAGTGCGTCCTCGACCATGCATATTTATACTCTGTTCACATGCAACGGTATTTGCTAATGACTTCATCACAGGGGTATGCAAGATTGCTTCCGCGCTCACCCTGACGTCTACGGCGCGGAGCTTGAGGACGACGAGGACGCCAGCGCTGCAAACTCCGAGCAGCCTCTCGCTACGGAGGTCGACGCCGCTGTTCCCCCAGCTGAGAAGCACGAGAATGCCAAGGAAGCCCGTGACCAGGTGAAGTCCGCTACGGGCGAGGTTGCCGAGTCCGAGGAGATTGTCCCTAAGGCCTGGCACGAGTCAGAAGCGGAGAAGAAGCCCGAGCAGCAGACGGAGAAATAAATGTGGAATTCGGGCTATCCGCCATCTACTCTCTGCGTGAAGACCTACCTGGAAAAGAATATGCGCCTGCCTAAGAGCACTACCATTCTTTCTCCAACGTCCCACCAGCACCAGGCTTAAGCCTTCGACCTACTTGCCCTACCTAGCTAGGTCATGTCAGCATTATACTCATTCCATCCCACCTTACTCATCATTGCTCGTCCTCTCTGCTCTACTCGGATTTGTCTTTCTAGCCAATCTTCTTACTTCGCTTGACGTTGTTTGCTTCATTTCCTATGTAACTACCTACTCATGTACTTCTATGCAACGTTGCTGTTGTCGTTGGACGTGACATGACGTGATCACGTTCTGTTCAGAGGAGATAAAATAGATTTCTTATAGAGTGCATTTTTCTTTGCTGTGTCATGTGTTGTAGAAGTCTAGTTCGAACCATTGAAAGCTTACGCGGAACTGGAGGATTCAAATACTAATGGATGGACAGCACAGAGAGGTACTTCATTCACCATTACACTTCGACGACTGGTAATATAAGGCTAGGTCGAGAAGAGAGGACGGGAAATATTAATCGAATCGAATTAACATTCTAATGCATATGTTGAGATTGATTTTGATTGAGCGTGCAGACATGTAGCTGGTACTTCCCACTAGTTAGCACGTTACATGATGCATGTGTATATGATGTAGCTAGCTAATGTAGCCCGTCAGCCCGGCCATGTTCCAAGTCCACAAATGAGACCAATAAAGTGGATAGGTAGGCTAGGAGACCCGTCCGAGCTGAATAGACCAGAACAGAACCTGGCCTGGCCAGATGACACACCTGGACTAGGCTCGCCGAGGGCTAAACTGAGAACACGGAAGTACTCGAACTGTATGTAGCACTGCCTCTCCTTTCTGATGCTGAGCTAAGCTAAGAGATCCTGACGCAAGCTTGGTGTCTAACGTCCACACTGGGAGCCGACAGAGCAGAGGAACGCCGAGTTCAATCACCAGAACTCTGCTGTGAGTTGACGGCTGTGTGGTAGACAAGCTTGTGAACAAACTCGCTCTTGGACTTCATGTCGAGGAACTTTCGGACTTGGAAAGCACGCAAGTGAACTGACTGACTGATTGGTTGCGCTCGTGCGATTCGTGCGCTCGGACACGGCCATGAGGCCAGCGAAAACATCAGGCGTTCTTTTGGCGGCCACAGTCGAGTCGATCAAACTGTCTGACATCGAGGTGCGCTTCTGAAAACCATGCAGGGCACTACCAATTCACATCACTGAGCTGTAGCTTGCGGGAACGGAAAGCCAAACGGTTCGCGCTCGATTTGTCCATTCTAGCTGGCGAACGTTTCTCAACAGTTTCTATTTTTGTCGACTTGTTAGCCTGTCCTGTGTCTTTAATCTGACTGTATATGGCTTGGCAGAGTAAAACTCACCTTCGGCGCTGTCAGTCTCGTTGGTCATCTCGTAGTTCAGAACGAGGTTCTTGATCCGCTGCTGCTCCTCCCTATCAGCTTGCTGCTGGCTTCTCATGGCAACGGCAAAAGTTGAGTCGGACGGCAAATCGATGGTGCGAGTCTGCTGCTTGTTGCCTTTCTTGGTCATAAGGGAGAACGCCATTGTATTGCCGGACGGCTGAGTGGAGGGAACAGGTGCTGGGGCCGAGGCTGGGGTTAAAGCTGGGGCTGGGGCTGGGGCTGGGATTTCGGCAGCAGTGTCACGAGCAGCGCGCCGCATTGGTAGAGGAATATCAAATACAGCCTTGCGCTCGAATTTCCGGGATTCAACGCTCTCCGCCATCATTTTCTCGAATTCACGTTCGAACTCGGCTTCAGCCTCGGGGTCTCGCTCCTCCTCTTGACGCGTGACGAAGATCTGTTCTTCCTCAGACTCACTGTCGTCGTTGTGCTCGACGTGTGGGGACACCTAGACTATTAGCACGGGCCACTCAGCTAGGCCGGGTAACTTACATCCACCTCGTCACTCTCCTCTCCTTCATCCTCAGCCTCTGGAATGGCGTCTTCCTCCAAGTCGTCGTCCGACGCGCTGTCCTCGGATTCCTCCTCAGGTTCGGGCTTCTCTTCTTGCGGCTTGAAGTTCTGGGCCACTGCCTCGCCGAAGATGCGGCTAGCCTCGTCGAGGTCGGTAATTAGAGTCCATTGCGGACGGGTCAGAGAGAACGTGTCTTGGACGAGAAAGTCGATGTCCATAGGCAGTGGGTCTTTTGTGCAAATGTAGTACTAAACAATTAGCCTTGAACTTCACCCACTAAGCAGAGACGAGCTTACTTGGAAGAACTTCAAGAAAAAGTCTAGCTTCTTCTTTGCAGATCCTCGGTCGAAACAATGACCGCAGGTATCCAGGAGCTGACAGATTAGACGTATACGGAAGAAGTCGTCTGGGAGATCCAGCACGTTGATCTTGCCTGGCATCGGCGTACCGCCTTCTGCAAAAGAATTAGCAAACACAACCCCAAATGCTCCATATAACGCACCGTGACCGTATGTGACAATCCGATACAACGTATCGAAGATCACAGGAGAGTCAATCATCTTATAGTTGTACAGCTCTCCAAGGTACTTGACCTCCGCGATCCGCTTCTGGTTGAACTTGAAATCATTCTGCTCAAGACCAAGCGTGATATATTCCAGAATGTTGTCAACAATGCCAATCACAAAGCCTTGGTGGTAGCGGTAGAGAGCGCCGACAAGGATTGCAAGCAGATGGATATTGCCATACTTGACTTTGGCCGGCTTGCTGAAAACACGCTCCAGAATATAGACCACCTCGTCCTCTTCCCAGTGAAGCTTGCGAACTGCTTTCAGTACCCTGGTGTAGTTCCGCTTGTTCATATCTAAATAGATGAGCTTTCGGATGTAAGACTCCATGGGCGTCCTCTCCTTTTGTTGAATAGCGGGCCGTTGAGGTGGGTCGACGTAGTATACAGCATTTTCGATGATCATGCGCTCCTGCTGGCCTAGGTGCTGAACTGTCTTCTTTCTCCCCAGTGTCTCGAGGAAAGATGCCATCCGGGGTGACGTATCCGGATTCCGAAACAAGTATCGCCCGCAATTCTCCAAAAGGTGACCGATAATTTCAATGTTCATGCGGGAAAAGTCATCCAGAGAGACCTTGAAGCAGTGGAAAATGATGTGCTCCGGGACTACTCCAAACTTGGTCAACTCCGCAAGGTAACGGATGTTGCTCATCCGCACCTGGCCAAGGAACTCCTTGGACTTACGGCGCTGGAGACTGCGGAACTCCTCGTCGAGATAAGTCGTTAACCCTTGAGGGATGTCCGGCATATATTGCCCAAGAGTGGCAACAAGACGCGAGTACAAAGGCAGAAGGTCAATGCGGCCCTTCGGAATATCAGAGATAGCCTTCACAAGCCTGTTCCTAGAGGCTTTGGAGTTGAGAAAGCAGAAATCTAGCGCCATCTGGTCGACTTGGTCTTTGGTTTGCAAATCAGGAAGCTTGGCCAGAAGCGCGTCCACCTGGGCTCCGACAGTCTTGCTCACAATGGCCATAGACAGATCATCAGCTTCGGCAGCCTTCTCCTCTGAGGTCTGTGTCTGCGGCTCGCCTTTTTCACTCGATTCAGGGCCAGCTTCACCTTCCTTCTTCTTGGTCGGCTCGCCAGTTTCAGTCTTCTTCTTCTTCCCATCATCTAGGAGAACAGCCGGGACCTTGCCTTTCAGGTCAACAAGATTCTCGTAGAAGCGTCGCTCCTCTTCGTCCTCCCAGATTCCAGCTCCTTCTCCTTGTCCACGGAGGTACTCTGAAGTCTTCACAAGACCGATCCCGCCGCTTGATGTAGGGTCTGAAGTTTCCTGCGCAGCCAAAGCTGGCATTTCGACACCCAAGATCTCGCAAAGGATCTGCGTGTTCGCAACCAACTTCTCCAGCGACTTGGTCTGCCTCTCAAAGTTGGCTTGTCGGTCTTCGAATATTTCACCACTCTTGACGTAGGCTTCTGCATTGCGCCGGCTCTGTGCGGTGAGCGCCTTCTGGTCGCGCATGACATGCGCCTTGACGTCCTCCAAGTATCGGTTCAGGATACTTTTAAAGCGAGACTGGACCTTCTCCGGTGTAAGTGGCGCGTCATCCTCGGCGTCCGCCTCATCACCATTCTGGGTTTCAGCAGGCGCAGTCGTCGCTCCGTCGGCCTCAACCGTCTTCCGACCCTCTTCAGCGGCCTTGGCGCCCAAAATATCCCAGCTAAAGCTCTTTGCAAATAGCACGGCCAGCGGCAAATTGGAATGATCACGGTCATGACCAAGAAGATCCTTCAGGACCTCCAACGGAAACGGTTCCGGCTCCTTATCACCGTTCGCGTTTCGATTCCTCGACACTCCATCGGCCACTTTGTTGCCCAATCCAACTGCACCCTCTTTGCCCTTAGCTCCGAGATCCTCCGGTCGCTCAACATCGTCAAGGGTACGCAGTACGCCGACCAGCCACAATTCTGTCACAACCTTCAGCAACACTCGGTGGCGAGATAGTCTCTCTTTCTCTTCGCGCTCACGCAGTTCCTGGCTGAGAGCTTTCAACTGGCTTTTATCCGGTGAACTGAGGCCTCGTCCGAGCAGCCATCCAATCTGTCGGGTGAACTCCGCCGGTCCGAATCGCTGATGCAGAGCGCTAGTGATTTCAACACCGGCAGTGATCTCTCCGGGCGACTTGAGTTTGCAGAGGCCCTCGTAACATGCCGATATAATCTCCGAAAGGTACTTGTGGAGCGACAACGTGCGGATGTCGGTTAACAAGGTCTGTTGAGCGGCGGCATTAATTCCAGTGCGCAGGCGTTTGATAAAAGCCGTATTCTTCTTCAGAGACGAGTCGAGCGATTTGCTGACGGGAAATATTTCTAGATGGACGTCACCGGTTAGACGAGACCGGAATGAGGGGAAAGAGGGATAAGGTAACAGTACCAGTTTCGCCAGCCCAGGCCTGCTCATTAAGAAGACGGATCTCCCCTGCGTTTTGAAACTCATTAGATACTAGATAAGCAACACCTCTCATCCCCATCGCGTCAACCAGACTCACGCTTTCTCTGCCGATCCATCTCTTACCGCCCGGTTGTAGCGTAGCAATCCCCGCGGTGACGAATTCAGCTGTTATGTAGTGGTTTTAAGAAATCGGAACGGAGAGCGTGGAAGTGACTTGAACGCCACATTGGGGAGGATCAAACAACAAGAAAGGCGCCACGTCTGGGTCTGCCTGGGACGAGTGTGGGCAAGTCAAGGGATGTTGCACAGTGCTGCTGAAAAGCCATGGGGAGAATTGCGGGCGACCCCGAAGGCGGCGAAGTGCATGCCGGCACTGGCCAATCTCCGTCATTTCTCTCCATCGTCACCATCTCTCTTCATTTCTATCTCATTATCCTTCACTCTCTACTCAACTTTGAGACCTGTATCTGAAAGCAGTGATGTGGCTTGAATTTACCTAAACATGGCCTTCATTCCACCCACCGAAATCAAGCAGCCCTACTTGCCGCCAGAACTCCTCTCGCCCAAGTCATGCACCAACAGGCCGGAATTGGAACCAATACCAATAAGCTATCAGCAGCACTTAATATCCTCGGACATGTATCACAGAAGAGGCCTCCGACTCCAGCGCAATCCGGGTTGCAATTCCCAGCTTCCTAATTAACTCCACGACCACCGAATGAAGCGATCGCACCAGGGCACCTACCGGACAGCGTCGAAACTACAGACCACGCCATGGCCGGTCAGACATGGGCAAGCTAGATGCACGCTGCTGCTGTGAATTCAGAGAGCAGCAATTGGCAAAGCGTGATATATCGTTGGGAGCAGACTTGGTCGATGACGCGCTCAAATTACCTCTGCGGAGATGTATGCGGCGCGCGAAGGTGCAGGCGCGAATGCCGCAGATACAGTAGACAGAGGCTGAAGTTCCTCTCTTTGCATACCACTGTCGCAGTCATCGTGGGCCTCGGCACGGGCTTCGTGGTATCCGGAGTTGTTGGCAGATAGGACTGATGCTGAACGGTAGTTCCGACACCGTCCGGTATTGTAGATCTGCTTTCTACCCAGCGAACCAAAGCATAGTACGCCATGGCGTACAACTCTCTCCGGGCGTATGTAGATGATGCAAAGGTATAGTATTCTCAACTAAGCCGATCCGCATACTTTGTAGGTTTATTTGGTATCCCGTGTTGACTGCGAACCACTTCAGATATACCTTCTACCCAGGTACCTCGGCTAACTCATCTACCGTCATCCGCCTTCATTTAATCCCGTCTCAACTCTCAGAAATATCTAAGAACGAATCCGTGCGCTCGTCTAGGCTGCGAACTATAGAGCCACGTGACTTATTCTGACTTCTCGTTTATGTAATCCTATACTACATAACCCTAACTCCTACCAGTGCTGAGATCAATATGCTCTTCAAAAATACTTCTTTTACTTGTACGTAGTTCTGTTTGTTTCGCTACCCGGCGTCTTCTTTGAAAATTTGTTCAAGATGTCAACAGATGAACTGGAGGCAGTATGGCAGTACCTTGTGGAAACCTAGGGCAAGAACAAACCACGAAACTATGAACCCGAAATTGATAAATCCGAAACCCGTATTCAACCTGAATAGAATTGGCAACAAAAAGAACAAGGAACCGCAGCCCTTTAACGCTCGATGGCGGCGTGCCGGATTTTCCAATTGCCCAAATACCCATATCTGCCGTGAATAGTGCAAATCATCCCAATGAACTCTTCGAGCCGTGCCTTTGTTGCCACATGCATGTTCTTCATCAGCTAAAGAAGGTCTTCCATGCGTGTTTATTCTTCTTCAAGCAATCCTTCAACCGCTGCACAGCCTTGTCTATCTTTTTCTTTCTTCCAGCACTTAGATCCCTGAATACTCAAGCACTTTTCTTAAACAGTGACTTTTGTGCCGCATGCTCTTCCCGCCACAGGTCAAGGAATGTTTCCAGCTGTGCTGTTATGTCCCTTGCCATATTACACGCCTCGCCAGCGATGACAGTAATTGCTTTATCCGCCTGCGCTCCTCCAACTAGCGAAGCAAGGCCTTTACTCAATCGTTGGGACACCCGATCAGGGATTCCACTTGTCTTGTTTATCAGCCCTATTACAATATCTTGAAACAAAGCAAACCTTTGATCCGTCTGCTTCCCGTCTTTATACATTGCCTGTATAAACAAAGTAGCTTCTTCATCAACCTCCTTATATACTTCTTGCGCCTTATTAATGATCCAAGCGGCCTGTTAATGTACCTTATTAGCTTTTTTATCCCCTAGACTCTACGCCTGGCAGATACCATCATCTAACTGCTCATCTTCTTCACGCACCCAATCCAGGATACGAGCGAGGGCATTAACCATCTAACTTTCTAGTCAACGCTTTTTCTTACGAGGTAGATAAGACCGTTGCGTAGGATATTTAAGGTTGTCACGGCCTTGCTCTGCATTAACTGACCGGGAAGCTGCCTCCGAAGCCGGAATATTACTTTCTAATCCACGCATTCTCTTGCGAGACAGATAGGACCGTTAAGTAGGATGTTTAAGGTTGTCAAGGCCTTGCTTTGCATTAACTAACCGGGAACCTGCCTCCGAAGCCGGAATATCACTGGGAGGAAACTTGATATGTGGCGGATCGTCCGTTGCCGATATTGCACCTAACTCGCCTGTGACATTGGCCCCCATTAAAGTGTTTTCAAGGGCTGTATATCAAGAATTGACCGGCGAGGCACCAACACCGGCTTGTGTATGTACTCACCGGGATTGCAAAGAGCGTTGATGTCGCAGATAGCCCTGTTTCTTACCATGAGATCAATCGGAGGACGTGTGTTGGATTGACCAATTTTAATTATGGCCGGAAGGCTGGGGCTCCTGCCAACACTGGTCTGCATTTCGTGCGTTGTAGCCAACGGCGTTTCCAAGGCAATTGCCTTGTTCCATTGTGGGACTACTAAATCCTCTAACAAGGGAGATTTGGTGGACTAAGTTTGAGAATATATTAGAACATAACCGGCAGCAAATTGAACAATGCCAGAAAAACACTTGCAGAAATGCAAACTAACACTGACCAGTACTATATCCGCGCTAAGTTGATTACAAGCCACTGCTCCCGGACCAGACCTCTCAGGCAAGAAATCTTCCACGAAATCCCGGCCTGTAACTTCGCAGGTATCCCTAAGCGATTTTTCTCCCTGTAGACCATTGCATCCCCATATTAAAAGATGTAGATCCTGGTAAATCGCAGTTGACTAACGCGCAGATAATATGCAAATGATTATAACACCAAGAGGACGGCTTGCTGCAGATACTAGGTGGTAAAGACAAAATGATGTTATGGGTAAAAGTCAAGGCCTGACTCCGCTACTGGGAATTGACTATCGACATAAGAGCACGTGCAACAGGTGGTGATAGATCATTGCAACAGAACGCGCTTACGGTATTATTAGCCGATCAAGCATCGAATTTGGCAGTCTGGTGAAATAGCACCGGCCTTAGTATAAGAGGAAATATACAAGAAGAGGCCACAGCGAATCTCGAGTTCAATTTATGGCCAGTGCCGCATTTCAACTCTTGTATACCTCAGTATAGCGGCGGGTCTCGATTGACGGTGGGTCTCGCTAAGCAGCGGCGGGGGCTCGCGTCGCGCTCCAGCCGGTCTGGCTCTAACCTGCTCTGGCTAGCATCATGTTTTGCTAGCAATGCTAGCAGGCCACTAGCCAATTAGATGTAGAGCGAAGAATTCGTCATGAACTCACCACCATGTTTTTTATCCTGAGAATCTAAGATAGGCCCGACGCGCAGAACTTCAACAAATAGCTTCAAAAGTACACGTACTTTGCTTTGTATGGGACTCCCTATAGAGAACCAAGTACCAGCGCGTTGACGGCTCTACACTGTTCTTTTGCGCGCAGTATGACTTGGTGAAATTTGAGCAAAACCATCTCATATAAAAATGAGCGGCATCTATATGTATAAGTTGGATCCTCGATGTCTCGTGGCTTGCCCTAAGCTGACCTACTAATAAATTACTAGGGACGGAGCTAAACGAGTCGAGTACTGGATAAAATTCGATAAATTCGAGCGCCATCTCATATGGTACGCTAACTGAGCAGCATCCGATTAATTAGGCGGTACTCTAGATTTCGGAATACTGGTAATAGCTCAGAAGGTGAATACTTTTATTCCATCAAAGGTAACATACAGATCATAAGTTTCCAAAATAATGAAGTACAGGATGCTCAAGGAGCATCACCGGAATCGGCGACATTGAACAATACTCGTACAGCCAGGTTCATAAGCCGGCATTGTACAAACAGGAGAAGACACCCCTGGTAGAAGAACTGTAAACAAAAAGCGAACCAGACCTCCATACATCATACACCTTCATATAAAAACGTAATAAAAGTCAGACTGGGTATGCCACGCCACGCTATGCAGTCCTTGAAAAAGGAACAAAGAGGGAATCTAATAGAACCCTAAACAGTGAGTCAAGTATGTACTGAGAACAGAACCATATGTCGGGGTATTATAATTGTTGAACTGTTTCATATTCATTTCGGTTTGCGCCAGAAATATTGCTGTTCGGGTTAGCAGGGCCATGACTAAGTCACCAAAAGGAGGGACATACCTTATGTTGCTTTCGGCAGTTGCGGAGGCCAGGCTTCCGCAGATCTGTGACGACAGCTTCACGGCGCATCTGATCGTCATCAAAGTCAGGGATGTAGTAGTACTCGGCCTCGAGGGGCTTTCCTGCGGCATCCTTGCCTTCGCGCGCAACCTTTCCAATACACTTGGTGGAGTCCAGGATTGCCCGGATCTCATCTCTTGAAGGCCCGTGGTGTGAGCGGATGTCGGCCTTCCATAAAGAAGAGGGAAGGTTGTCGAGGATGGTGGAGAACGGGGTGGATGACAGACGTGAGAAAGCAAGCTGATTGACGGCGTGGTTCTGAACATGCTCAGAATCCTCGTCCAAGACTGCCGGTTTCTTGTCCTCTTCGGTCGGTTCCACAGGCTTTGAAGGCTGTCTTGGAGATGTGGGCTGGAGGTGAGCACGAGGACGTGTGGGCCGAAGGGGGGACTCGTCGGCAGAAAACGAGGCCAGACGAGGAAGCAGATTATCGCCGAAAGGTCCGAAGGAATGAATGATCGGGTCATTCTCCTCGTCATGGTCAGACAGATCTTCAGGCTTGCTCAGGTCACTCAGATCACTGGACTGCGAGCTCTGCAAAAGAGATGCTGCACTGGACGATGACTTCAATGCGTCGTTAGAGTTAACGCGGCGGACGGGAGAGCCTTCATCTTCATACACAACGACCGCGTTTCTGGAGCGAGTCGGAGTGAACAGAGGCGACGACGGAGGGATCAAAGACTTGACGGCCGGGGATGGGGAGACCGGGGACGCGAGGCGTTGGCGTTCAGCACCTGGGCTATCTTGCAGACTACGGTGAGCTTGCTTTCTTCGTGTTGGCGTGACCTCCTCCCAGGTCTGCTCCGAGTCAGTAGACGCATCTTCCTTCCTGTCACCGCGCGGCCATTGAACCAAGACGCGGCACTCAGAGACGTCAATCATAATATCTTCGTCCTTGATATCCGACGTGAACGTCTTGCCCTTGGCCAGTTCATATTTCTTTCCCTGGCAGTGAACCTTGATTCCATTCCACCCCAAGCACAATATCTCCACCCTATCTCGGTCGAACGGGTTGGGGGCGGGTTTGTATGTCGCTTCGACGTGCACCCTGGAGATCATTCTGTTGGCGGCGAGCTGATACTGGCATGACAAACTGGATCGTCCCATCTTGATCGTTTCACCGGTTTCAGGTAGCATTAAGGTAGGAACCGCAGAGAGGGGGGTCCGTTCGGAGAATGTAGAGCTCAGGTTATGGCGTGACGAGCTATGAGGCAGTGCCATCCTTGGGGGCGAAGACGACATGATGTGGGTGGACGAGGTCGGGACGGGAGTGGGATAGGTTGAGATAGCACGGTCATCGTCGCGTGCTACACGCTTCTGCGGTCGAGGAAGAGACGGAGACGAGCTCAATGGCTCAAAAGCAGGCAGTAGGGACGCCGGACGCTTCACGCCTGTCAGAGGAGCAACCGAGGTGCTCCTTGGAGGAGACGACTCCATGATAGATAGCACACGTCTCGACGACCACCTTGGGGTTTCCTGGGCAGCTATAGAGTAAAGAGGGTGAGACTCAATCGAGTTCGCGTCAAACTCAAATGCACGGCAGGGGCTCTACTCTATCACGAGAGGGAAGGAAAAAAACAGGCAGAGGGAGAGACAGGACGTGAAGCTGGTGGAGGACGAGAAGGAAGGAAGGAAGAGCCCTGAAGCTTCCCTCCCCAAACTGACGACTAGGTAGGAGGTTGGGGAGACACGAGTCTACAGAAAAGAATGAAAAGGGCACTGGGGAGAAAAAGGGAGAGAGGATGGTGCGTAGTGGAATGAGAATGCCCTGGCGGAACTGCCAGCGCGGAAATGCACGCTTACAAGCTCGAGAAATCGAGACGCGTTCGATAGGCGCCGGTCCTGCTCCACCTTCAACCTCGCGCATCCCACACCCTGACCGTCAGGAACTATGCATCGTACTGCATATCTGGCATTGAACGGAAGAATGAAGGCGACTTCCATCATGAACGCCATGTCAAACCTTCGAACCCCTCCTTTATCACCCTGGTCAATGCTGTACAGCTCAGCAAGGCGCGTCGAGTCAAGAGCCCTCGCGTTCTTTGGTTCGAGTCCCGTGACTCGCGCCAAATCACATGATCGCGTTTCCTCGGCTTGGCCCGTGCATAGCGCCATGTGCTGCTGCATAAATGGGTTTGTGATTGGCTTTCAATTATTCCTTGCATTAAAGAAGACATCTCGATTCTATTTTTGCGAATCGCAAAGAGATAGACTTGTAGTATTTTTGTATCCTATATGATTGATGATCAAGTAGTTTTGGTATACCTCAAGCCATGCCCATGTGTCTTGCACTTGTAGGATTAGACACAGGTGGTCACGTAAGGCTGTATACAAGTTACCCGACGCGACGCGCGAGGGTAACTTACCGGTCAAAGTAAAACCAGCCAATTTAAAATCCGACGCCGGGAGAATGATGCTGCTCATTATAATTCTTCCGCTGCGGTCTCGGCGGGAATAAACCCTACCGTCAGTTTGTGAATATTCAATTCAGAATTCTTGACGTCGTCACTCGAAGGCTCGTTGAATCCCCAACATTGGCACCTCACACTCTACACGAAAAGTCGCCTAGCCACCGCTTGAGGTGTCCAGCAATTCAGTAAGCAAATCTTGTACGCCAGGGGCTGGCAGAATCATGATATGGATTAACGCACGACGCGGTAAATATCAACAGAATCGCGTATTGACGAGCCTACAGAGTTGAACGATCCAACAAGCCCCTATACCAAAGAAACGACAAGGGTATACATGAGAAGAGGAATTCAACGTCACTTGACAACAGAAGATAATTAAGCACAAATCTCCCAACCTAACGGATGGGGACCAAAGAGGAATTGACCGATGGGCACGGTTTCAAATCATATGAGACAATATACTAAGATACACAAGAAAGCAAGATGAAGGCAGACATAATCAAAAGCGAACAGGCATGAAAGGTATTCTATTTGCAGTTTTGCCTGAACGGATAGGATCATCCAACGCTGAGCGCACCGTTATTGAGAAGTCGCCATCAACTACTTTAGTAGAAGACGAAAGTAGCGTCACCGGACATGACTTCGACCTGTGAGTGAGTTAGCATACAGCTCCAATAAAAAACCAGCTGAGAAAGCTTACCGTGCAGCCAGAGTCGTTGGAACCAGTGTCAGAGACGAAAGAACCGTCTTCGTACTTGCAGGAACCGCTAAGGTTGTCACCTTGGATCTTGATGTTGAAGTCGAGCTTCTCGGTGGTGGTAGGAGAGTTCTGGAAGATAGAAAGCCATTTGCCGTTGTTCTCACCAACACCGAGGTTGATGGGCGCCCAGTTACCGATGGCCTTGCTGCCATCACCCCACTGGCATCCCTCCTCGGTCGTGGTACCGGCAGGGTTGACGTAGTACTGAGCAGAGGTAACCTTGCCCTCCCACTTGTAGTAGGTTTCACCGTTGGGGCAAGTCACATCCTTGGTCTCGCCGCTGTTAAGGCTGATGGGGATGGTTTCAGATTCGGTACCTGTTTATAGTTAGTGCAAAGCACACCCCATTTGTAGGTAGTTAACACTCACCAGGGTAGTCAGTACGGCAAACGGCAACGTGGTCGCTCAGGGTGTTCTTGGCCTGGACACCACCAACACCAGGAATGCAAAGCTTGTCGGAGAGGTCCGAGTTGGTCAAGTAGAGCTTGCCACCCTTGCACTGAAGACCACCGACAGACTGGCCTGTGGAGCCCTGAGTAGTGGGCCACTGAGACTTCTGGTACCCGGGAGGGCAGGCGTACGAGCACATGGCACCGCTGGTGCAGCTGTCACCAGTAACGGCAGTAACGATGCTGCTAATAACCTCGTCGACCAGGGTCACGTATTGGATACCAGACCAACCGTCGAGACCGAGGTAATCGAGAGAAACAGCACCGTAGTCGGAAGGGAAAGTGCTGCAGTCGAGTTCACCGTCGGGGAACGATGCATCCAATCCAGTCGCAGTTGAAGAGCTGGCGGCGGACGAGGTGGCAGCCGCCTGGGAGGTAGTGCTTGACGCAACGCTCACGCTAGTGGAGGTGGAGGTCGAAGTGGAAGTAGAGCTGGAGGAAGAGGCCTCGGTCTCGATGAATTTCGCCGGGGCGATGGTAGGGGTGTACGCCTCAGTCGTGGTGGAAGAGGCCGTGGTCGAGGTCGAAGTCTGGCAGGGGTCGGAGGCAGGCTGGCCGTTAGCCCAGGCCAAGGTGCCGTCGGTGATACCCTGGCACACTTTGTCGGCGCTGATGAGCTCGTTGTCGAGCATGTATTCGACGACAGTGGGACCATCGACAGTGACAACCTCGCGCTTGTGGTGGTGACGGTGGCCGTGCTGGTGCTGGGCAGCAGCCGCGATGGACCCGGCGGTGGCCAGAGTAAGGGCGAAAGAGTACTTCATCTTGTGTAGATCGCGAAAATGATAATATATCTAACGGATTGGCTGGAAATAGTCAGTATCACCAATTCATCGCATTATAAGTATCATCCACAGTCTCAGGGTGCCGTTGCGATTGTCCAGCCGAAGAGAGCAACACAAGTAGTGGAGTCGAGTGCCCGCAACCGCTTCGACCAGTAACCCGATTGACAGGAGTGCACGAGGATATAACACCGGGATGATTGACGTACATCAATTGACGGCAACCCGGTCGCGCGTTCGTTTCGAATATAGTGCTGTACACGAATTGAAAACAGGCGGAAGGGACCGAGATTTGACGGAGCGAAGAAGAGCGGATAGGGAGCCGAAATGCGAAAGAGCGGTATTCAGAAAAGAAAGGAGAATTCCAAAAGAATGTGCGTAGAGAAACAAGTCTCTCTGGTCGGATGGGAAATCTCGATGGCGGACGACAGCCTGGGTGGAACGAAGCGCTCTGGGGAGAGGGAAGGGGAGGCTGAAGAGGAGGGAGAAGAAGGAGGAAGGGGAGGTTTTAGGGAAAGGAGAGCGAACCTTAATGGACACAGCGAGGAGGCACCGAATTGGCCAGACGAGACTAACAGCGAGCGGCCAGGGGAAAGGAAAGACTCAGTCGGCAGGCGTTGGCGGTGGCTCCAGCAGACGGCGAATGACAATCAGCACTCCTGCGCTAAACCTGGCCAGTGCCTGTTCAGGGGTTCCACTGCGAGATTCGAGACATGGTCTTATTCTTAAAGGGACGCCATGTCAATCAATCCTTTTACTTGATACGAGGAATGGAGGAAATCCCAACGCCATTCGTCCTGAGCGCCCCTGACAGCGCCTGGTTCAATGCACAGCGTGTCCGTGGTAATGCCAGGGACGCCGACTGCTGACCACGGTAGGCGTCAACCCAAATTCTCTTCAGTAGCGCTATCCATGGAACGATCCGTATCTTGTTAATTATTTGCAGTCGCAAGTGGGGGGGCGACGTGGCCACCCAGTTGTTTGTTTTTGCATGTTCGCCGCCGTTCGGGGACACGGGCAGCGCAGATTGGAATCCACCTTTGGCAGTCGAAAAGGGCATCTCGTATGCAAATCTGGTCGCGTCCTATAGGACCGCCAGGACGAGAGTTTTGGGCCAACGCCTGGACTCTGGGCGATGTGCACCAGAACGGCGTCTCGCCGGCCCCTGTCAAGACCATTTTGGTGTCCAAACAATAATAATGATATGATGGACTTTGCCGTCTGTTCCTGAGCTTGGCAAAGCCGAAATTAGCACAGGCACAGGTACAGCCAATCAGCACCTGAAGCCGGGGCTCTGCGGTGGGGCACTGGCTTTTCTGCCTTCGCATAAAGGGGCAGGCCAATCAGATCTGGAGCCGGCTCCCACACCAACAATCCCCAACTTGATTCCCCCGGTCTGAGTAATCCCGATGGTTGCGCATGACATCAGCCACACAGCTGAGATCAAAACATTATCAGGTTTGAGATGCTGCAGGAGTCAGATCTGTGGAACACACCTTGTCAAGCTGAAACATGCACCTGAACCCTGTTCAACCATAAATGAGGTTGAGTGAGGTTCGGCGGCAACTTAAACGAACCCCAGATCGACTCCGCAAGTAGGGGGGCATGTATCATGGGCGCTTCTTCGCGAACAGGCAACGAGTCAGCGATCGTTAGACTCTTGCATTTAGCCCTTGTTAAGCATTTTCTGAAACAGAGCAGCCTGTGAGGAGTCCTCGGTCTAGGTAATGCAGCTTATGTGGGCCACGGCGGTTGTTCTGCGTCGACGATGCTGCAGGGTAAAATACCCTGTAGCCCGCGTGCTAAGTGGTTGCAGTACTTTAGTTTAACCCCTTAAAAAATAAAGGTTATTTTATTAGGTAGATAGTAACTTACGTGGCCCTTTAGCTTAATAGTTATATACTAGTGTTGTAATAACCTAATTTAGCCTTTAAAAAATAATTTTAGCTTGTTTTAGGCTTTAAAAAGCCTTATATAAATACCTAAAGCCTTTAAAAAGTATTAAACACTTATTTTTATTAAAAAAGCACCTATTTTTTTTTTCCAGGCTTAAATAAGCTAAAACTAGGCTAAAAACTACTTTTTAAAAATTTTTAAAAACTAGGAGGTCCCGGGTTTAAACCTGGGTATAGTTATATAAGTTTTTTTTTTATAGGTTAGGTAAATTAGGTAAAGTTAAAAAGTTAATTTACTATTTTTTAATTAGGCTAGTGCGGCGGTAAAAACCTTTAAAAAGTATTAAATTTTTAAATTTTAATTTTATATATAAAAATTTAATATGCTTGGCTTAAAAAAAAGTATTAATTTTTGCTTATTTAAACTAGTAACCTTGGGCTAATAAAAAGTTATTATTTAAAATATATTTAAAATAGCTTTATACTTAAAATTATAAAAAATTAAAAAATGCTATTTTAATATTTAAAAAATTTATAAATTAAAAATTTAATATAATTTTATAGTATTAGGTTTTTTACGCTTATTTATAGCCTTATTTAATTTATAAATATTTAAGCAAGCTATTTAACTAATAAAAACTAAGTAAAAATAACTAGCTATAATATAAAAAAAATAATTAAAAGTAAAAAAAAAATAAGTAAATAAGTAAACTAATTTTATATTAAGGTTTAGGTAACTTAATTATAAGAAACTTAAGCTTAAAAGCTAGGGAATACTATAATTAAACTAGTTAGTTAAATATTTTAGTAAATAAAGTATATATATATGTTAAGCAACCCTATACTTAATATTTACTAAGTATATTAAAGCTATATTACTAGCCTTTAACTTTTAAGGCTTAAATTAATTATAGTTAAAAGGCTTTTTAAATAAAATTTTACCTAGTGTTTTAATATAAAAAACCGTTATATATATTAAACCTAGTAAAAAGTCCTTTTTTAAAATATTTAAAATTATTTTATTAATAGTTATTCCCTGTGCCTTATAAATAGTAATAATATATATAAAAGTTAAAAAAAACTAGGTGTGGTAATAAGTTATATTTACCCTGGTAAACTCTTGCTTTAAAAAATAAATAAGTATAATATAATTTTTATTATTAATAGTAATGCCTAGCCTAGTATACTTATTAAACTTAATATAAACAGCGCCCGGGAGATTTATACATAAATTAAAATTAGGTAACTAGTTAATATTAATAATAATACCTAAAAATTTATTTACTAGGCTAGCTTTAACCTAATAATTTTTTACTAATATAACACGGGTGCCTATATAAAAATATAAAGTAAAATATAAATTACCTATATTTTTAATTAATATAGTTTTTGCATCCTTACCCTTATATATAATATTAATAATTAAAACTACATGGTTAAGATCCTATAACATATTATAATTTTAGGTAAAAACCTAAGTTTTTTTATAATATATATATAATATATTTTTAAAACTATTTTTACTGCTATAAATTAATTATATATATAATAAAAAAAGTTTTTAATTATTCCTTATTACCCTATTATAATAAAGGTTTTATAAAATAATTTTAAAGGCTTTTATATATAAATTACTTTTATCCTGTTACTAGATAATATTAAGCTTAATAGTAATATTAAATAAATAATATAAATAGCGTGCGTAAACCTTATTAATATTTTTTAATAGCTAATTATAAAATAACAAGCGCTGTATAATAGGTGGTAATTAGTAAAAATCCCCTGTAAAAATAAGACTAATTTTTCCAAAGTTATTATTAATAGTAAGAAATACTTTATAATAGTGTTAATTAATCCACTACATGCATGGTAAACCAAGCATAAACTTTTTATTAATAATAAAATAATATATATTAAAAAGAAGACTTTAAAGCACGCGCAAGTTTTATAAATTTAATACCTAATATTTTTATTAAATACTAACTAAAAGATAAAAAAGTGCGTGTAAAGTATATTTTAATATAATATTTCTAATAACTTTAATTAAAGTAGTATAAATAATTAATATTTTTTAATTAATAGCTATGGCCATATTTTATAAATATATAAATATTAGTTTAATTACATGTATTTTACTAGTTCCTGCCTAGTTATTTAAGTTAACTTAAATAAAGCGCAAAAAGTTACTAGTAAAAATAAATTAATAATACTTAATTATAAGGTTATACAAGTGCCGCTGCTTAACCTTTAATTCCTAAATTAATACTTTAAAATATAGTAACATAGTAACTAGAAATATTATTTTAGTATTATTTTATTATTTATATTTTATTATAATTTTAAAATACTTATTAATATAGGTATCCTAGTTATAAAAGTAATTAATATTATAATTTTTAAGTAAATTAGGATTTTTAAAATATATAAAATTATTTTTTAAAAGCTATATAGTAAGCTTAACCTATACTTCCTGCTTTTTTTTATTTATTTACTTAAAATTATTATTATTATTTTTATTTAGAGCTGGAGCGGCAAGAATATAATAAAAATTATTTAAATAATTATAGGCTTTTTAATAAATAATATACATGTTATAAAAAGTTAAATACTTAACACTTTTAATAATTTTTAAACTATTAATATTTTAAAACTAGTGGTAAAGCATTAGCTTTACACGCGCTAGATTTTTAGTTTAATTAATTATAAGACCAACAAGTCTTGAAGATCTCTACTAATAATAAAGATATTAACAAAGGAATCTAATTAATAAGAATAGAGTATTCTAAACCCTGTTAAATAATACTAAAAGAGTTACTTGGAGATTTTAATAAAGGCTGGCCTTAAGGCCACCTTTATAAACCTTTAAGCTATGCTTAAGTTATTCCTAATTAAAAAGTAAATATAGGTTTAAATACTTTACACACGGGTTTTTACTTTAGCCTATACTTAAGGCCTATCCTAGCCTTACCTAACTAGTAGCCAAGACCCTAAATACTAATAATTTAATTAAGTTATATAGCCTAATATAATAATAAGGTATGCTAAGCCTTGGCAGCCTAAGGCTAAAGCTTAGGTTACCTAAGGCAC